TGAACACAGAGCGGGAGCAGACGTATTGGGATGAGTGGGACGAGGCGGCGCTGCGGCGCATCATCCAGCAGCAGCGCAAGATCACGGAGGCGTCCAAGAAGTTGGAAATGAAGAAACTGTACCAGGTGCTTGTAGTCATCGACGACTTTGCTGACACGCCGCAGTTGCACAAGCCTCACGGCGCCCTGGATACACTCTTCATCAGAGGCCGGCACATGCAGATCAGTACCTGGGTGAGCTCGCAGAAGCTGAGGCTCATCAGCGCAGCCGTGCGGGTCAACATGCAATTTCTCTGCTGCTGGAGGCTGCGCAACCAGCACGAGCTGGACGCCGTCATCGAGGAGCTGAGCGCCCTGCTGCCGAAGGAGCAGCTGTACCGGCTGTATGAGCAGGCGACGCGGGAACCCTACAGCTTCCTCTTCGTCTACTACCTGAAGCCGAGGAATGAAATGTTCTACAGCGCTTTGAAGAGCGTTTTGCACTTGAAAAAGACGCCGATGGGAGCGGCGCTCAGCTTCCTGGGCCAGAAGCTGTTCGCCAGCTCCACGCTGATCAACGCGAAGTGTGAGAACATCTCCTGCTGCACCTCCGTCGCAGCCGTCCAGCCGCCCTCACGTTGAAGATGGGGGGTCGCAGCGGGTTCGGATTTGCCCCCCTTGTCTTGGAGAAAAGAGTTCCAGCTTGAAGCTGTGTTGCGCATGACAAGCTGCCTTAAGGGCTTCGCCCCATTGCACCTCACCTGTGAGGCGGTGTTTGCTTTGCTTCCTCTGTTCCTCAGGTGGTGGTTCTCCCGCGTTGGCCATCGCGTTCTCTTGTGCTGGTCCTCCGTGTTTGGTGCTTTGCCCTTGCGGGGTGTTTGGCTCAGGTGGCCAAACCCTTTTTCGATTTACCCGAGTGTTTCCGAGGTTCCTCGGGCGGTAAAGATTTTGGCTCAACATGTTTGTGGGTGGGGGCCCAGGGATTAAATAAGTGTCGACTCTCGTAAGAGATTGTCACCTTATTTATGAGCGGGCCCCACCTGTTTTTAAAAAGGTTCTTATTGCGTTGTTGCGTAGAATGAGAACCTTTTTCATGTTGAGGCTCTCTGTGTCTTTGTACACTTGCAGAGCATGATACATTTGTGTATCCGCTTGCATGTCGGCTGAAGGGTGGGTGGGTGGGACCCCTGGCCAAGGCGCCAGGATTTTAGATTTTTTTCCCCGCCCTGCTGCGCTCCCGCCCGAAACTCAGTTTTCACCTGTGCTGACCACGGTCCAGGTTCACGAGAGGCCTAACCCAACCGGCGGGTCGCAGCGGGTTCGGATTTGCCCCCCTTGTCTTGGAGAAAAGAGTTCCAGCTTGAAGCTGTGTTGCGCATGACAAGCTGCCTTAAGGGCTGCGCCCCATTGCGCCTCACGTGTGAGGTGGTGTTTGCTTTGCTTCCTCTGTTCCTCAGGTGGTGGTTCTCCCGCGTTGGCCATCGCTTTCTCTTGTGCTGGTCCTCCGTGTTTGGTGCTTTGCCCTTGCGGGGTGTTTGGCTCAGGTGGCCAAACCCTTTTTCGATTTACCCGAGTGTTTCCGAGGTTCCTCGGGCGGTAAAGATTTTGGCTCAACATGTTTGTGGGTGGGGGCCCAGGGATTAAATAAGAGATGTTTATTTTATTAAAAGGACCTCCCTTCTTTCCGCAATTTTACTTGCAGTTCAAAGCTTGTCAGAGTCAACGTCGGCCTGCCACTCCTTGAGCAGCTCATCCAGATTGAGCTGGGGCGGGGGACTTTGCAAGCCTCCGCGGCTTCTCATTGCGTTCCGACGCTGGTGCGGGCGCTCGGCCTTGTGCAGCACATTCTTGCAAGAAGGCTTGCAGGGAGCGGGCTGCGCCATCAAAGCGGATGCAAGGTTGGGGGCGTCATAGAGACCCACGCCGCGGGCTTCTCCTGAAGCCAGGCCTGCACGCACCGGGTAAAACCCTGTATGCTCATGAGGTCAATTAGAACAGCCCTCCAGCGCGGTTTTATTGGGGAGGGGCGCTCCACCATCGTTTGGTATAGAAGGTTTATATATGGACCATAATAATTTTGTTGCTGTTAGTGTTGGCGATATTACCAACGCTTCTAATCAATACTTTATGTGTGATGGATTAGTGAATAAAACATTTTTTAAACACCTGTTGATGTGTTAGGTAATATGTATATGAATGCTGATGTTAATTGTGATAATGTTAGTATTGCCACTGCTGGTAAATTATCAATTGATACAAATTGTGATGCAAATTCTTCAATTAGGTTCATTTGTGGAGACCCTGCCGTTCAATCTAACAGCGTTGGAGCAGTTAATATTTCTAGATGGATTTCTAACACTGCTACTGCTGATGTTACGGGTAATGTATTTGCTGACGATGTTTATGTTAAAACTGGTGGAGCATTTTGAAGTAATCGTTTAGTACCTAATGGTGGAACATTGGTAAACGTTGATACAAATTTAGAAGTTCAAAATTTAGCAGCTTTTCCCATTCAATCATTGGATTTGACAACGGTTTCATTTTTGGATCCTATTTCATTGGCTACTGGAACAGATATATTGATGGGAACAAGTGAAATATCATCTTATTACGATGGAACTAGTGTATCTACAATTGATGTTATATTCAGAATAACAAACACGGCGTTCAGAGTGGCTGATAGTTCAACTACGCCTTCAGTTTTACTATCTATTGATCCGACATTTGGTTCAACAGTTTTTTCTGGAAGTTTTGCAAATAATCCCTCATCAACATTTATTGAAAATGTAACTGTTGTTAATACAAAATAATTTGTCAATGACATTCAAGATGCTTCAAGCGATGCTGTTGATATGACAGCTGGAACTGTAACCATAAATGGAAGTTTGATAGACAACTCTGATGCCAGATTGAACTACAATGTAGATTTGCTTGAAAGTAATTGTTTTCATATGAAAAATAAATTTAAACCTAAAAAGTTCAAAAGAAAATGTAGAAACGATAAAGCTGCCATCCATATAAATTATATTGCTGATGATTTCTTAAAAGCAGTTCCAAAAGAAATTAGTAATGTAGTTCATACCGGTCGTGAATATTTAGGTATTGAATATACAAAAGTTCCAATACTATTACATAAAGCTTTACTGGAAGTAGTAGATAAAGTTGAAAAATGGAAAAGGAAATTAAGGAATTGAAAAAAGAAAAATCTATATAATAATATATAATGTGGTTTTTCAAAAAGAAAACTGATATTGATAATACACCTCTTGATAAATTACATGAACTTGATGATGAAGATATTCGTGAGCGATTATTGATTAAAAATGTGAATTAGAAGAAGACAAAGTGATACGTTTTATTTTAAATTTCCTGCTTTAAACCTTTGCAGTTATACATTATTTTGAATTGTTAATATGGTTAAGTTTTAAATTAATGTTATTAATTAGAAACATATGAGGGCTAGGAGTAGGAAGAGGATCAAATCGGTCCGGATCACCCCTGCTGGGACGGTGTATCGCACGAATGAGAAGTGCCGCACTTCAGGCACGCAAAACAGTGCAGTAAGTGCACTAAATGCTGTGGGTTTGAAGGCAGCATGTGATTCGGGATTTCAGTCACACCCGCACCATGGCAATGCATTTAGATCACATGTGCACATGTGCAATCACTGCATTGGAGGCTCTAAAAGCCAGAGAGAAAAGGCGCTGCCGTCCGTTCGACAGAGTTTGTTTGCCTGTCGCTTCTTGGGTGCCTTTTTGGGGCCTGTGACTCTTCGTTTAGCCGACCGGCGACCACGCCCAAGGCGGCACGGGGGGAAAAAACGGCGTGCATGCCAAATGACGGAATTTCAACATGTGGCAGCTGATGCTTTGGCTAGATTGACGCTTTGAGATATCATCACAGGAGTCCGCAAGTTTTAAATGCCAGCCGATGGCGTGCCTTTCTGTCCAGCGTGTCCGCGCACATTGGATTGAGAAAGTTGCCTCACCGGCGAACCCTTGCGATGCCATCAGGACAACGTCCGTGATGATCGCAAGCAAGCTGAAGGGGATGGTTGGGTTGAACACGGTTTTGGGAGATGCTGGATGTGATTGAGCCAAAGGCCGGACCTGCATGTGAGAAGTGTGTCCCCGACAACTCGCAGATGTACGTCCCCCAGAATGCTGGCGAAGAAAACGGGTCGAGTGAACTTGAATTGCACTCATTTTACATGTCCATATTTTTGCATTTTCGCATTTGTGTGTGTCCAGTTTTGCATTTTCGCTTGACATGAACAACGCGAGCATGTGAGCATCATGCGGTCCGGGTCTTTGCCACATGTTCAAATCAGGAGGGCCCCTTTTCTACTCACAGGGTTCCGCAAGAGCAACAGAGGGAAGAGGAACGACGTGAAGAAAAAACAAAAACGGAGAATGGAGAAACGAGAAAGGAGAAAAAAATCATGGTAAAGGAGAGAAGAGGAAAGAGAAAAGAGTAAGGAGTGAGGAGAAGGAGAAGGAGAGAGAGTAAGAACAAGGGAGATAGAGATCGGTCTTGTTTAGCGCGCCATGTGATGGCACTTGATCATGTGCTTAATCTCAAATCATGTAGATGCTCGCGAGCAACGCCGTGAACATTGACTAACATGTCTCCAACTTGGAACGCGTGACGGGGGGCGTTGTCGTTGGTGTTCTGCAGTTGACGGCATTCATGAACTTGTTGCTTTACTAGTTGGATTTTGGAAGAAGCAACATGTTACCCAACAGAAACCATTAATTGACCAGGAACACCCACAGTAGCTGGAAACGGCCTGATTCCATTGACCTCAAACATGCCGTTTCACTTCCTGCACAAACTGTTTGATTCGCTCATGAAGTCTGATGTGACGCAACTATCAAACATATACTTGCGCCCCCATTGGATCACCAGCACATATTTTCAGGAAGCATGCAAGAACCAGATGACACCATTTCGCAATGCAGATGAAATGAATCAACAAGAACAGAGCAACGCATGAGGTTACCAACGCCACAAACTGAGTTACAAACCGGTAGTTGACGCGGTAGTTGTTTGCTGAAGCCTGCAGTGACGCAGGCGTGTGGCTGGCAAGTTTGCAAGACGTGCATGAGGCGTTTTGAGTAAGAGGTTTGTGAGTTGAGCCACAATCAAAACCAAACCTGGGTAGATGAAGGTTAGTAAGGGACAATCCCAACCGTAAATGGCTGCGGCCGCCTTCTTAATTCTTCGCATGGTTCTGGGTAGACCATTTTGATATCGGGTTTTGATTATGACTCAGTTGATGAAATCTGTGATGGAGCTTCATGCAATGCGCTTGGGCTAGTATTGAATGAGTTTCGCCTTTTCGCCCTTTTCGCCTCAGATCCTGTAGGTGCAGCCATGCGGATCTTCGGGAAGTCCTGGTCTTGCGGGAACTGTGCCGCCAGCGTTGCTTGGCGAAGCATCAAAGGTGTTTTTTCAAAGGGGAGCCAAACATATTTGTTCCTCGTGGCTTGCCCTGGAGCTTTAGGAAAAGTCCACTGCGGAGTTCCCCCAAGCAAGATTCACAAACTCACTTAGAACGTGCGCAGGCTGCGCGCGTTTTGTGGATCACAGACCCAGTCCGTGGTATGAGGAGCAGAGCCAAGAAGCTGCACCCTCCCCGCAGCATTACAGCTCCAGCAAGGCGGGCGGGTTTCGGAAGAGGCTGTTTGGGGTGTGTCCATTTTGACAAGGGTCCCCATATTTATGCTTCAATCATCACGTTTTACCCCCAAGAAAGGTGAGTTTCCCTTGGCAGGTGATGTTTTCAGGGACATGTACATATGTATGTATGTATATATATATATATATCTATCCATGTACAGGGCCCCCGCTTTGATGGCCTGGGCAGAGAAAAGTGTGGGAACGTTTTGCCAGGAGCCAGCGGCGCATGCGCCACGCCCAAGACTGCAGGAGGCGGCGATGAATGCGGCGCGAACCGAGGAGGCTGGGAAAAAAAGACGCGCGCGAAGTGGCCGGGGTGCTGCGAAATCCTGAGCTGGACCATGACTTTTCAGCATTCCTTTTTGGTTGTCTGGCTTTTGCAAGGGACACTCGTCTGTGCCTTTCTTGAATAACTGAGGTTGCCCTTGCTCGTGTTCTTAACTATCTTTGGTATCGATCAATACCGTTTATGTTTGTTTCGTTGCTTGCTTGTTTTGTTCCTTTTTTTGTTTTTGTTTTGTTTTGCACTGTTTTTTGGTTGTTGTTGGTTGGTTTGGTTGTTAGTTTGTCCCGATGTTCGTCCTCCTAGGTTGGGGCTTGGTCGTGGCAGGGTCCCCGGTCATCGGTCGGGTTGGTGGTCGCTCTCGTGACTTTCGTCTTTTCGCTTTGGCTTTCGAAAAATCCTCGGAAGTTTCCAATGCTCGGTAGCATCACCGCTAGGATGGTGTTTGTACTTGCGTGATTCCACTGGTGTCCTTATGTGAACCGTTTGGGGGGCTCTAAACCAGCCTAAACTTACCCCCTCAAACCCACACAAAGCTATCCCCCTCAAACCAACCAACCAGCAACCTGAAACCAGCAAGCTAAGCTGCCGCGAATGGGTTGGGCCGTGGGCCGCTTCCGGCAGGCCATCTTTGAAGTCGTGGCCCCCTCCGACGTCGCTGATCCGGGCTGCGCGGCCCGAGGCCGGGCCATCCGAGTTTTTTTTTTCTTTTTACACGAGCCGAACTTGGGATTGGTTCGGTTGCAACTGGCTCCTTTGCGTCGCGCAAGGGGCTTGTGGTGCATTGTGTTTGCTTGTGGTGTTGTGTGCACCACAGCTGTGCAGCGCTTGATTTGCCATGTTTCGCACTGTGGGGGACATACCTCGTGAGAGACTCTCATGCAGTGCCGAGTCGGCTGCCGAGTGTGTGCGAAAGCAATTGTTTAGAGCGAGAGAACTTGGCAGCGGACTTTTCGCATCTACAAGAAGCTCTTTGCACAGCCTGGTTGACAGATGGAAATGATGACCAGCCACGAAACAGTGAGGGAAGTGAGCGATGCGGAGTCACGCTCAAATGTTTCTAAAACTGCTCATGGACTCATATGTGTCCAGGATGTCAAGCGAAGCCTTGAGATCATGGAACATTCAGGAAAGGAGCAGAACTCCATCAAAGACAAGCCAATGAAGAACTCCATCAATACGGGGTGTCTGTGTTTGAGGCTCCTCTCGTTTGGGTGGTGTTAAAGGGAAGCCAAAAGAACACATTACGATTTTGGGGGTCCAATAAAATTACACACCCATATGTGAAGTCGCCTCAGGTGCAATCAACATCCAGGTGCAGGAGCAGCATATTGAGTAGGGGGCTAGGGCAACCTCTGCGAAGGACTTTGGGTCCTTCTAGAGAGGCAAGCTTTCTTGGGCCGTTGGCTTGCGGCTTCTTTTGATCTAAGCAACACTCACTTTGGCGCTAATAAAGCACGTCTCTGAATTCGCATGGCCTGTGAGGATTTACGAAGCCCACGTTGAGTGTTGGCCTTTGCACATTCTACTCCGGATTCCGGTCGAGATTTCCCTCCGTCTCTTCAACAAACATGGACATGCCTGCAAGCCTTTGGACGATCCTCGCGAAACGGCCCCTCCGCTTCCATGAATGGGTATCTGTCAAAGTAGGGATTTGGAGATCCAAAGATGGTGGTCTTCCTTTATGTTTCCCTTCAAACCAACCCCAGCAAAGGGCGATTCAGGAAGCACACGCAGACACACACGCAAAGAGATGCAGGCACATACGCACAGGCAGACGCACATACACAGATACATACATACACAGCTACACTCACACGCACATATACATACATACATACATGCATACATACATACATACATGCATGCATGCATGCATACATACATGACAAAACATAACATAACAGAACATACCATAACATAACATACCATAACATACATACATTACATTACATTACCTTACATTACATTACATTACATTACATTACATTGCATTGCATTGCATTGCATTACATTACATTACATTACATTACATTACATTACATTACAGTACATTGCATTACATTACATTACATTACATTACATTACATTACATTACATTACATTACATACATACATACGTACGTACATACATACCTACGTACATACCAATGCACAATACACATATTAGAATGCATATATACAGAATCTCACACAGACACACATACACACAAACACAAGAGGTAGAGCCCCTTTTCCAGGAGAGCAGTGCCTATGTGAAGGTGCTCTGTGTGCTGGGGGCAGTTGCGCTCGTGCTCCTTCGTCCAAGAATTCGGCTTGTGGATGACAGCTTGGGATGGATGCCACCCTAGCAGTCAAGCCAGCAGAGCAGGGGCGGACGTTTCAAGCATATAAGAACCGTAGTTTGAAGCACACCATTTTCTTTATTTTATTCTTTTGTTCTCTCTCTCTCTCTTTTTCTCTCTTTCTCTTTCTCTTTGTATTTTCCTTTCTCTTTCTCTTTGTCAGTTCCCATTTTCTTTTTCCGTTTCTCTTCCTCATCCTCTTTATCTTTTCTTTCTACGAGTCTTTCTCTTGCTCTTATTACATTTCTTTCTCATTCTCTTCCCCATAAATCTCTCTTTCTCTTTCTCTTCATCTCTTTGTCTCTTTCTCATTCTTTTTGTTTCTCTCTCTTCTTCTTTCCCTCTTCTTTTTCTTGCTGGCTCTCTTCCTCTTTCTCCTCTTCGTTCTTTTTACTCCGATGTATTCGAGGCTGACGAGCTGAGGTTCTGCGAGCAAAGTGAAGAATGCAAAGTGCACACGAGTGTCCGAAGATCAAACTGAAGAGGGTTCCCTTTGTATAGGTTGCGCGCGGCCGTGCGAATGGGCCCGTCTCCGAACTTGGTCCGAGGGCGCTCCGAGCCTGCGCCGCACCCGCTCCGCACCCGCCCCGGAAGTTCCTTCCAAACTTCCTTTGAAAAAAGCAAATATACTGGGATAGACCGCCTGCCAATTGGTTCAGAAGTTCAGGATTTTGTCCGTCCACAGCATGTCAAGTTCTGTGGAGGTAGGTCAAACCTCCTTTGTGGAGGTTTGGTTTGTGGTCAGCAACAGCATTTTGACAGAGTGGACTAGCTGCAAGCTGGTTGGGCACAGACCTTCAAGTTCTTTGGTTCCCTTCACGTTTGGGTTCTAAATTCCCGTCATGGCGGGCGCTGGTTGCTGCGTATGCGCGGCACTGAGCGCTCTCTGCCCAGGCTTCTATCATCCTTGGGCGCCTTGATTGCATCAGTTGCATTTGCTGCCACACGACAGGCTTCGTCCAACGGTAACTGCAGCACACCCAATTTTGGGTGTTTTTGCTAGAAGCACGGCCAAAACTATCTATTTCCAACCAAGTTTTGAAGACTTGGGAATGCTTTGTTGATTTGTGAGAGTAGTGTCAGGTCACTGGATTGATGTGGCATGCCTTGCTTGTAGCGTTTTCTTGTGTACGAGTATGCATTGTTGCTGGATTTGACTTGCAGAAGCCATGCTTTACAGATTTCTATATTTTTGCTTGTTTGTCCTGAAATGGTTTGAAACCCAGGATTGACCAACTCCTGGTTGGTCAAAACGAAGGTGGCCCATCTAAGGTGGGATGCGGGATGCTTTCGGAGGAAGGCCCCCCACAAATGCGGCAGGTTTGTTCATCCGTGTGTGTGTGTGTGTGTGTGTCTGTGTGTGTGTGTGTGTGTGTGTGTGTGTGTGTGTGTGTGTTTGTGTTTGTGTTTGTGTTTGTGTTTGTGTTTGTGTTTGTGTTTGTGTGTGCGTGTTTGTTTGTTTGTTTGTTTGTTTGTTTGTTTGTTTGTTTGTTTGTTTGTTTGTGTATGTGTGTTTCTGGAAGGAACCATGAAGTCAACAGGACTACCTTCATTCAGGTAACCCTTAATTGGCGGTTTGGAGTGGTGGTTTGGATTTGGATTTGAACCCCCGGGTTCACCAAACTGGGCTCCAAACCTCCAATTGGCTCCAAATGGGTCTGTCTTTGAGGGTACCTTTCGGTGGTTTGAAAGGGGAAGGACAACCGCTGTGGAGGGAAACCCAAATGGCTGTGGTTGTCAAAACCGTTTTGGGATCCCCCGCATTTTGGGGTTTTCGGTGCACCGCTCATTTCAGAACCTGTTTTAGTGGTTGGATTGAATCGGATGTTCAGTGGGCGACGGGATTTGGGATTTTGACCCATGGCCAAAGATTGAACAAAGACCAAGATTAAACCACCAGGAATCGGACCGCAGGTTTTGGTCCATGTTTCTACTTACCAGGCAACCCCAGTTTGGGGTTGCCCTATCTTTGACCCACAGCCATATTGAAAACAACCAGGAGCCTTGCTCTCTATGGCTGACCGGGAGCACACCTTGGAGGTCATCCTCTCTGCCTGGGTTTGGCTCGCCAAGGGCCTAGTCCCAGGTGTCAAAGCATGGCGGAATTCCCCAAATGGCCATGGGTCAAAATCCAAAGGAGGGTATTTTTTTTTTTCTTTTCGCTTTTGGCTTCTTGGCTTCTTGGCTTCTTGGCTTCTTGGCCATGGGTCAAAATCCAAATCGTACCCCCGGTGAACACCCGATTCAATCCAACCACTAAAATAGGCTCTATGGGTGGTGAATTCACCTACCCCAAAATGGGATCCCATTGGTTTTGACCCACGGCCAAATGGGTGGTCTCCCTTTGGTCTCCCTTTCAACCATTCCCAAAAAAGGGTAGCCCTCAAAAAACACGCATCCCAAGATGTTGAATTGCTGTATACCCCCTCAAAAATCTACGCATCCCCAAGATGTCGAATTGCTGTTTACCCCCTCCAAAAAACATGCTTCCCCAAGAGGTCGAATTGCTGTTACCACTCAAGCCTCACAGCTTGTCACGAGATTTCATTCTCACAGAGCGCAATGTGGGGGCAGCTTTCCCTGGGCCTGTGGAAGTGCATTCAAGCCGGTGCCTTGCTTTTGTGTCCTGCTTCAACAAGCAGTTGTGTGGCTGTGGTTGTCAAAGCCGTTTTGGGATCCCATTTTGGAGAATAGGTGAACTCACCACCCATTTTAGGACTTTTTTTTTAGTGGTTGGATTGAATCGGATGTTCACTGGGGGGTACGATTTGGATTTTGACCCATGGCCAAAGATTGAACAAAAAACAAAATCAAACCACCAGGAATCGGACCGCAGGTTTTGGTCCATGGCCATGTGCTCCTGGGAATATTGACTGTATTGCTAACTGTTGATGGTGGAGAGATGTGGTGAACACAACACAAGTATCTGGAGCTAGTGCAACACCGGACTGGAAGCACACCGTGTTCCTTTCGGCATTTTGGATCTCGCAATTTGCATGAGGGTGAGTTTTGTTGCCCGGGTGCAGGATTGGACCAGAGAATGAATAAATGAAAAGCCGCGATAGTAGCAATTGCGCATTTTTTGTCTATCGTCAAAACTCCCAAGTTTTCTTCCCCACTGAGACCTGCCCCACCGATTTTCTTATCGTTTTTGGTCTTGGCCTTAACTACTGTCTTTCCAAGAACGTCTCTTAGATGTCGAAAAGTCTGGCGCTTTGCAATGCATGGCATGTCCTACAAGCAAGGTCCGCGTTTGAGCCTTCGGCCAAGCCAGACTCCGGAAGCAAACCCAAACGGCTACGACACTTTCTGACTCCCAAATTGGTGGACGGAACACCGATTTTGACACTTTCTGGAGTACACTTCCAAATCGGTGGGCAGAAAACCAATCGATTTCTCCGCGCCCACCAACCATTGCCCGTCCCCCGAGATTCTTTGCGCGACGCGATTTTCGGATGGAACGCTGAGGTCTTTGCCTGGCTCTACGCCGCGGTGATTTGCTTCAGCGAGCTGCGGCCGCGGTGCCCGAACTGCTGCTCGACTGGGAAGGTGCATGGATGATGCATGTGTGAATTACAACCCCCCTTCCCCCCCCCCCAAACAGGGTGCATCATCAGGAAACCGCCCCAAGTTTTATTCAAGCTTATTTGGATAGTAGATAACTAGAACAAATTCGACCGCATGTCCTTCCAGGTGTTTTTGAGGGGGAGAAGCTTTCGTCTTTCGTTCGCCTCCCGTGCCCAAAATGGGCGTCGTCTCAGGCACTGAAAGCCACCCGGTGGGAATCTTTCAGGCGGCGCCTCTGCTGGCGTCCCAGGCGCCAGACGCCGGACGCCGGCGCACGCGTCGGCCGAACTCGGAGACGGCCGAGCTTTGGAAGACGCAAGGAAGCCCACCAGTTCTAGTCTCCCAATTTTGGATTGCCTTCCCATGGGGAAAGTGGGTGAGGTTTTGCCGGAACGCATTGTTTCACTGTTTCTTTCCAAACCAACAGTAAAGTTCCCATGGATGCCACTTGCTGAAGCGCCGGGGAGCTCGAGGAAAAGGCCAATTTTTAGCCAGGTGCGGAGTTGCACGGCTTTTCAATTCTTGAAGCATGGTTCTGGGTAGACCACTTCTTTCTGCTGTTTTTGTTTTTGGAGCGGTATTTACTTTAGGTTGTTTTTCTTTTTTTTCTTCTTTGTTTTTTTCTTTTTCGCTTTTGGCTTTTTGGCTTCTTGGCTTCTTGGCTTTTTGGCTTCTTGGCTTTTTGGCTTCTCGGCTTCTTGGCATTTCGGCTTCTTGTTGGTTTATGCGGCTTTTGGTGGCTTTTTGGCTTTGGCTTTTCGCGTCCTCTGCATTCCCAGTTCCTCTTCGGCAGGTGGCGTTTTGGCTTTTGCGGCTTTTCGCTGGTTTATGCGGCTTTTGGCGGTTTTGGCTTTTCGCATCCTCTGCTTTCCCTGTTCCTCTCCGGGCGTTTTGGCTTTTGCACCCTTTCATTGGTTTTTCGATTTGGCTTTCCGCATCATCAGCATCACCAGTTTTCTCCCTATTTGAATCATCACTTCTTCCAACATCATGCGGGGGCTCCCCCCCACCCACCTGCTACTTTTTGGATTTTTTGCAGAGTAATTGCACCCCTATTTGAATCAACACTTCTTGTGGGGGCTGCCGCCTCCCCCCAACCCCCCCCGCTACTTTTTTAGTTTTCGTGCAGAGATTTAATTGCACCCCTATTTGAATCATCACTTTTTCGAGCGTATGTAATCCATGTATGTCTGTATGTATGCACTTCTTCGCACATCATAGAATAAAGCCACCCCCGCCAACCCTTCTGCTGCCCTGTAAATTCTATCGCACCCGTTCTTGAATCATTGCACCCCTACTTGAATCATCACTTCTTCGAACGTCATGGGGGGGGGCTGCCGCCCCCCCAAACCCCCCGCTAGATTTCTACAGAGATTTAATTGCACCCCTATTTGAATCATCACTTCTTCGAACATCATGGGGGGGGGCTGCCGCCCCCCCCCAATCCCCCCCGCTACTTTTTAGATTTCTTGCAGAGCTATTCGAATCATCACGTCTGCGAACATCATGGGGGGGGCTGCCGCCCCCCCAACCCCCCCGCTACATTTTTTGTTTTTTTTCAGGGATTGAAATGCCCTCGTATTTGAATCATCATGTTTTTGACCCCGTCAACCCGCCAGCTACTTTTTTTGATTATGTTACCCACGATTTGTTGGTGATGCTAGGGATGTTGGTCGGACATGCGGGGGATGTTGAAAACGATGCTGGGGATTTTGGCGGGCTAGTGTAAAATGCATCAATTTCGCGAGAACATGCTGTAAAATACAACATTTTACTGGCCCGGACGAAAAACGCCCAAACATAATAATAATAATAATAATAATAATAATAATAATAATAATAATAATAATAATAATAATAATAATAATAATAATAATAATAATAATAATAATAATTATGATAATAAGAATAAGAATAATAATAATAATAATAATAATAATAATAATAATAATAATAATCATAATAGTAATAATAATAATAATAATAATAATAATAATAATGATAACAATAATAATAATAATAATGATAATAATAATAATAATAATAATAATAATAATAATAATAATAATAATAATAATAAACAAATAAATAAAAGATAAACATTCCGGAAGACACCATAACTCCGCACCCTTTGTTTTTTTTTTTTTTTTTTTTTTTATACCAGGTGACTCAAATGGGTGTCACTCTCAAAATTGGGGCCCCTCCTTTTGTTTGGTGGCCTTTTGGTTCCCCGAGAAAGAACATCCGAAGGCAGGTCCGGTTCCTACTTGACAAACCCCCAAAGTGGCGCCACGGTTTTCCGTTTGGTTTCCCGAACAAAAATCTGAACAACCAGCAAGAAAGAGGAGCAACTCCAAAAAGGACACACCCAGATGGGTGTCTCAAAATGAGGGGATGCCTGATCACAGGTTGCTTGTCGGTTTCCGGAAGGTTCCTTTTTTCCAGACAGACCCAACTTCGTCCGCTAGGTGGGCCGCTCCTGCTTTCACTTTGCCGTGGCCTTCCAATGCCCGGAGCCTTCCAGTTTGCTTTTCTTGTTCATTGGCAGGGAATGAGAGAACTGGAATGACGCCGAGAAAAATCATCCCCTGCGGTCCGAGTTCCTTTCTTGACGAGTCCGGTTCATTCCCAAAACCCTGGGCCATTCCGTGCTGAGCATCCCTTGTGCTTTCCTTTCAGGGAATCCCCTTCCGGTTCATTCCAAAAACTCGGAAGGTCATTCCCTACTTATCGCACCAGCAAGTGCTTTTCAAATTAAAACGAGTGTGTCGAAATAGGAGCATCCCCAAAACTTCTTGGGTCTGTTTTTGGTTTCTTTTTTAAGCCAATGGGTACCCTCAACAAAACATGTGCTCCTTTGGACAGCCCGCAACGTGTGAAAAGCTTGGAGGCCTGCTCTTTCGACCGCTGTTCCTCAGCATCCCCTGCTGCTCCCTGGCTGAGAGGGGAGACTGTCGCTCATGTCTCTTGGGCTTGTTTTTTTGGGTACCCCGTGTTTGGCTTTAAGGGGAAACCAAAAGGAAGACCGAACTCCCTGTTCGGGGTTTCGACTGAGCTCGCATCTTGGACAGGGCCTTGCAAAAGGCCACATGTTAAATAACCTGGAGGCCAAAGCTGCGTCACATCTGTTTTCCCCTGGCTTTTCTGCAATTTGTCATCTCTGGCCCATGCTTGGCAGTGAACGGGAGAATTCGGACAGCATTGCTTTCACGCACAAATGGTCAAACACCCAATGTTTCTTGCATACTTGCAGTCCAGAATCAGCAAACTGCAGCCAATACACGGTAGAACTTCTGAATGGGAAGCTGATACCTCCAAACGAAGCTATGCATGTAGTGCCTCTGAGGGTAAAGCCGAGTTAGGAACATAGTGTTGCAATGATTGCCCCATTTGTCTATACAATTTGTTCCCACTATAAAGCAAGCGGGTCGTTTGCTTGCTCGTCACAGAGAATCTTCTAGCAAACTGATGTTTTCTGGGATTGGCATGGTGGCTCTCCAGACACTGTTTGCCAGCATCTCAACCAACATTGGCCATGCATCAACCTGTGGGCACTGGCATGCGTGTTCGCGTGCGTGCAAGCCTTTCATAACGACTCACACGCATCACAGCCAAACAGCAACAAAAGTACCAGGTTTGTTACCAGCCTGTTTCCTCCCAACAGGGTTCCTTTGTGTCAATTGCTTCACCATTTGTTGCCAACCACGTGTTGAAACGGATTCAAACCATTGTTTGAACACCGTCGAACCGGGCTGGGTCCGGTCGAGCCCATCTCCGAGGTCTGTGCATGTGCGCCACTGGCACGCTGCTCCTGGTGGACACCAAGTTCCGCTGTGGGGCTCGGGCTCCCAGTCCTGCGGCAGAGGCGGCCCCTTTTTTTCTTGTTCCTTTCTTTTTCTTTTTCTTTTTTCTTTTTCTTTTTTCTTTCTTCTTTTTTCTTTCTTCTTTTTTCTTCTTCTTTTTTCCGGAGATGGCGCGCGGGTCCCTGGTTCATGGAACGGAAGCTCGTTGCCCGCCGCGTTTCAATCGCCCGACAGCGGCGAGCCTCGCTTCCGAGGCCTGCGGTCCCAGCGAGGCTCGCAATGGCACTCAGAGCAACTGGGCGAAAGAGGAGATGCGTTTGGAGCGTGTCGTTTTCGGGGGATGTTTTTTTGGTCTCCCTTTTGGTTTTCTTTACATAAAAGAATGGGCTTTCCGATTTGTTTTTTGGTTTCCCTGAAACACCACGAAAAAGGAGGGCTTTGCACTTGGGACGACGGCATTTTGTTCCGTCGCTTTGCAGATTGCTCGGACCTATGTTTGACAACTTTGATCATTGGAGTGATGAACAAGCTTCTCGGTGAAACGCGGCAAATCACGCATGGGCGGGCTTACGGCTCACCGAAGAATCGGGGCAGCATCCGATGGATGTACCAGCTGTTTGTTTTTGCATGCTTGGATCCATCGCGTTCCTTGCTTGGCGAAGCGTGGTGCCTGGGTCGACAGTCTTTGGCACCAATGCAACTGGCATGATTACACACATGTGCAAATGAGTGCCGTCAATCTTGTGGCATCCATGCACAGCGACAGAGGAGCTTTTGCCGTTGGAGTAAGCCGCTTTGGCCACACACATTGTGGACATGTAGCCATTCCAACCCATGGGAAACTCGTTTCTCGAAGAGAAACGCGCCGATTGTCACTTCTCCCCGGCATTGCTTCAGGCTTTCAGCCTCGTGTGAGGTCAGAAACCTGTCATCCAGGTTTTTCGAGCACAGGCCCGGGATTCTGAGAGAAAGAGGGCAGAGAGCGGCTCGGGAGCATGAGGCGCATCAACCCCCCCACCTCGTATTTTTTGCATGGCAGTGGGGTTGATTCTTGTGTCACCAAGGCTGTCTAATGGCGATCCGCTCGACAAACTTTGGTCATACCGCACACCTTTCGGCAAGGTTGCTAGGGGACCCTTCCAAAATGGCTTCGGTTTTCCTGGTGGTTTTCCTTTAGACCGCAGCAACCATGGTATCAGCTCAAATAGACGAGCCCACGCCAGGCTCCAAAGCCGAGCTCCTTTATGCCGCGCCTGGCGCTGCCCGACCTCAATGGCTCGGATCTCAACCCGATCTCAAATCGGGCAGTCCTTTCGCCTTCGGTGCCCAACGAAAAGGGATGCAAACCATGTGCAAACCATGTGCAAACCACATGGAAACCACATGAAAACCATGTGGAAACCATGTGGAAACCACATGAAAACCCTTGGGCTTGACTTTGCTGGGCCTGGCATTAAAAGGCCATCTGGCATCTTGATTCCAACGAATCCGGGTCTCTGACTGAGTGCGCGACCTTTAGGGAGTTTGGGGGCATTTTGATTCCAGGGATCCCAAATGTATGGATTTTGAAACGCCACGGGGCTGTTGAGACAAGTGCTGCCTGAGGCAGGCCGATCCTTTTTTTCTTCTTCCATTTTTTACCTATTGTATGGTTATGTGTTGCTTGAACAAGGGAGGCTGTAATTTTGGAACATCCGGGCCATTACCAGTGCTTTGACGCGAACGCTCTTTTGTATATAAACACAGATATCGTGTATTGCCACAGGTTTGTGGATGTGAAGGTTTCCCAGTGGAATGTGCTCAGAACTGGAAATGTGAAATGTCTTTAGACCATTTTTCAGAGGTTTCTTTGTCTCCTAAGCGTGATCAGAACTCTGGAAAAGCCTGCAGATTTGCAAATGCGGAAACGGCTGTGCTTTGCCAAAACGTTTGGCATTCTGAGCACAGCCACATACAGTTTAGACATTGCGGCATTGAGTCGTGAGCTGACCTCTCATTTGTGACCCTGAAGTCGAAAGACAATTTCGTTTGCCTCCTCGTTCAAGAAGTCCGGGCATTTGCTGTTTGATTTTGGCCTCTCAGACAATGTATTGATCCACCCCAAGGGGTGTGATGGAGATAGCCACTTGCGCAGGTCCAACATTTGTTGAGCTACTTGTTTGGCATCTTCGCCAGGAACAATACAAACTTTCATCTTCTCTCGGACACGCCGATCCACATATGACTTTCTCGTCGCCAGCGCGTTGAACCGTGCCTAGGCCGCTAAACAGTGCGTTGAGAACCGGGCCTGCATGGGAATTCGGCCACAAATCTCACGGTGGGGTTACGTACGGTGGATGCCCTAAATATTGCAAGTAAGGAACAAAGGAAACCCTGTAAATTCGGTTGACTTACTTGCAATATTTAGGGCATCCACCGTATCTCGCATCTCACGGGAGATGTCCATGGTTCATTTTTTGTCATGATCAACTTCGTAGCTGTTGCTAATTTTTGTGGCCAGTGAAATGCGGGGAGGTTGCGACAGGCACAGCGAACAGATCGAGTTAAGCTTTGAAGCAGAGGAGCATGTTGGCAATGCTCACGATAGGGCAGTGTGCGCACGAAGCAGGTCCTGATGTGTGCTTGGCCTGAAAAGATATCCTGTGCAATGGCATTTGGACAGAGTTTTAGACAAGTAGGTTGAAGATGTTGAAGTTTCAGCATTTACATACCTCTTTCAAAGATTCCTGTTTCAAGGCTAGATGCAGTGCCTGTGGAACCTGATGGATGCTCCTGAACACTTCGGAGCTCTGACGATTCTCGGGGATGCGCAGACAAGTTTCAGCCGAGCTGTGACCAACTCGTCCATGGATGTACCGGACACTGTCATTAGATGCCTTCTTAGATTCTTGTCATGTTGCAGGGCGACGAGGTCATTGCTCCGCTCTCCAGCAGATTGCGGGAGAGCTGACGGGCCCTTTTGATCATGGCGCAAGTCCGTGACAGCAGCAGACTCAGGGCCCGAATGTAAACTGCACTCTGAATGGCGCCACTTTCTACTTCAATAATGTTGGAACCTCGAGCGTGGTTGGTGCCACATCAACATACATTTGTTGCATCATGGTCGTGGTGCGTTGGAGTTGCCAACAGTGTGTTTCGAATGCTTTTGCCGCCGCATATCTTGTTGTGTTGCATTCATTTTGCAACATTTTGTGGCGACATTGTCCCGCAGCTAAGTACAACTCCCACTCAAAGTTCAAGGCATTTGTGAATTTGTGACTTGAATAGTCTCGATTTTGGAAGCACGACTTAAGAATGACTTGCAATGATGGTGGGGGGGGGGTGGACCTTGAAAGGAATGATTTCATCCCATTTAGCCGGTGCATGTCCTGGGTATCACGTTCATTGGATGTGCTTGGATGCCATGTTTGCTCAACTTCCTCATGGAAGGTGCAGGTTTGAATTCCAGTTGGCGACTGGAGCAGATACCGAATCTTGCAGTGTCAGCAGTTTACTGTCATGTGGTACAATTTTGGGGTAGGTGCACCACCCATTTTAGTCTATTTTAGTTGGGAATTGGCATGTTTACTGGGGGCACGGGCTTTTGACCCATGGCCATGTATCAACACATGCTTGCTTGCTTTGCCGCAGTTTGCCTTTCAGCTGCGACAGCTGTCGTATGCCCAGAGCAAAAGTGAGCCGAGAACATCCCAAAAGTGGTTCTCAAGCGATGGGTTGCAATGCTTGCCTGTCTTAGTTCAAGCTGGCCGCGCTTCTTAGTTTTTGATACCACAACAGGGCTTCGGTAAATTCGCGAGAAAAAACCTGTTCCCACTTCATCTGGATGGGCACGTCTCATGCGTGCGGCGCGTTGCGTGGGGTCTTCTTGCCGCAGGCAGGAGGCAAAGAGCTAAGTCGCTTTGAGTTTGTGTCTCCCTGAAAAAAAAAAGAGTAGCGGGGGGGTTGGGAGGGCGGCAGCCTCCCCCCATGATGTTCGAAGAAGTGATGATTCAAATAGGGGCGTGCTTACTGCATTGCAATGATGACTTACATGCAAGAAGCCGGCAAACTTGTCTTAACATCTAGATGTCACATGAAAGGAGGTTGGGTTGCCTTCATTGTCAATATCTTCATCATCATCCACAAGGACAGCAATATGGACAAGAAATGACAAACAAACCACAGACAACATATCAGCAAGAACAACAACAACAACCAGAACAACCAGAACAACATGAAAAAAGTGAACAACACGAACACAAGAATCATAGGAGCAACGAGAAGAGCAAGTACAACAAAGACTACGGGAACACCAGTAGCAGCAGCAACATTAGCAGCGACAGCAACAGCAACAACAACAGCAGCAACTGCAACAACAACAACGACGACGACGACGACGACGACGACGACGACAACAACAACAACAACAACAACAACAACAACAACAACAACAACAACAACAACAACAACAACAACAACAACAACAACAACAACAACAACAACAACAACAACAACAACAACAACAACAACAACAACAACAACAACAACAACAACAACAACAACAACAACAACAACAACAACAACAACAACAACAACAACAACAACAACAACAACAACAACAACAACAACAACAACAACAACAACAACCACAACCACAACCACAACCACAACCACAACCACAACCACAAACAACCACAACCACAACCACAACCACAACCACAACCACAACCACAACCACAACCACAACCACAACCACAACCACAACCACAACCACAACCACAACCACAACCACAACCACAACCACAACCACAACCACAACCACAGCCACAACCACAGCCACAGCCACAATCACAATCACAACCACAACCACAACCACAACCACAACCACAACAACAACACCAATAACGGTAATGAGAACACCAACAACAGCAACGGCAACGAAGACGATGGCGACGACGACAAGGACAACAACAACAACAGCGTCATCTTCGGCAACGACAAGGACAACGACAAAACTACAACGGCAACGACAACGACTGCTGCAGCAGCAACAAATGATATCCTATCACGTCATGCGTCATACGCAAGCATGCACTTACTTTGTAAAGATGCAAACACATGTACGCCCAACATATCGACAAGCGGCAGCTTGCCTTCCTTTAGGAAACACTGAATCACGCAACCTGACTGATTCTTTGCTTTTGGGGGCCGCTGGGCATGCATTTGCTAGCTGCCCTCATCTTGGATTCCCAGTGAAGTGTGAAGCTGTATATTGCAAGGCATCAGGCCAGAGTGAGAACACATAGTGTTGCCGTTTCCTGCGGCACTTCTTCTAGAACGTTCTGACACGTGGTTGCTCTTGCGGCCAGTTTCAGCAACCTTGTCGTGGTAGACGAGCGAATCTTTCAGTTCGAGAAGAAGTTCACTGGAGCGTTGAAGGACTGGGACTGTGCAGTTTGTGCAGCTCATGTCATTCTCATTGTTTGTGCTGTTTGGGGCCTCCCACGTAGGAATCAGCAAGGCTTTCTGGCCTTCGCATGCACCACCTTCAATCATCTTTGGACATGGAGCTGCAGTTCGTATGGGTTCGTCTCAAAATAGGGAAAGCCCCAACATCGGGGGTTTCCTTTGGTTACCTTTTAAACCAACCCCAAAAGGCTACCTTCGCAAAAAGAACGAGCCACCCATAGGCCTGATGCGCCAAGAGGCTCGGTTTCCGCGGAAGGACACTGCCTGGTCTCACACCCTTCAGCTCTGGTCGGAGCTTGCAGCGCCGCTCGCCATGGGACTTCGGGACTTCGGGACCCGCGAAAGGTCGGGGTGATGCGGCTGGAGTCTCCTTCTGACCCTTTAGAAATAGGTCCGTGTCTCCATCAGGGTCATGACCCCATTTTTGAAGGGTCCTGGAGACTCTAGGTAGGTTTGCGTGGAACCTGACGGATTTTTCTTGGTGCGAGTCCGGGAGTGACAAGGAGGAGCCATTTTTTGGTGGATGAATCGGTTTTGGCTGGATTGCTGAAGAAAGGAAACCATAGGATGGATGGTTTGTCGGGACGGAACTTGGGAACCAGATGCCATATTGTTTGCTCGACAGGTTTTGCTCTGCTTGCGACACATTCCCCGGACAGTCTCCATGCGTACCTGCATGACATGTGCTGACATTTCATTCCTTAATCGTCAGATGGGTCTTAGTTTCGTCTGGTTGACACATGGAGCGAACTTACAAGCTGCGACTTGGGACATTCTGTTTGGTTTTGGTGTAGCCCCCTGACTAAACAAAGCAATTGTCCAATTGATCGAGTCCATTTCCCAAAGGGGCATGGGCCATGTGGAGCTGAGAAGCCGCCAACGTGCCGAGCGGTTCAGCACGGCCAGGCGAGATGATTTGAAAAGGAAAGAAGTTTCTTGGTGGCTCCCATACCCTTAGCCTTTTGGCTTTTTAGTGTTTAGTGGTAGTTTCCATTTAACCCACTAAAAGCTAAAAACTTTTAGCGGGAGATCTGAAAACGGGCAGCCCAGTTTTGAATGATTTCAGACACACAGCGAATGACTTGAAACGAAGACGGAAGCCCTAAAACGGAGCGTCGCAGCGTGGCACCCCTCGTGCTCGATCGGCCCGTTCCTTCGGCGCTGCCATTGTTGCTTTGAGGGCTGATTGCAGTGGGCTGCTTCCTTTGTTAGACGTCCTGGCTGCTTTGAATGGCATTTTTTTTTCCGCCCCCACTGCGAGGGACCTTTTTGCTGTTGTGTTCGGGGATTACGTTAAGTGGGGCCACGCGGTATAGGCCAACCTGGCCAGAACCTTCCTTAAGCCGTTCCAAATTGTAAGGGGGGGTGCGAGTGCATGTTCTATATCTCTGATGACGAGGAAGCATTGGGAAGGAAAATTCGGGGCGTCTTTGCTAATATGTCCCACTTCCTGCACCACCATTCCGCCACCTGTGCCACATGTACTGTAGTCCATATCTCGCGTGAGTCAAATTGGAATTCGCACAGGCTTATCCCGTGCAAATGTTGGCCTGCTTGGGTTTGGTTGTGTAACAATATCAGCCCGGATGAGTTTTGCTCAATAAGTCAACTTGGCGCGATTGTAGCCAACCAACTGTTTGAGGTTTTCGGCAGGGACATGAGGGACATATTGGTGTCCCACAACAAGCTGGCAGCTTCCTTCCAGTCGGTTTGGATTGGTTGGTTGAGGGGTTTCGGTGGTTTCCCGTCCCACAAACCGGCTCTCAAGGTGTAAGGGATCTCCAGACCGCAGGTTTTTAAGTCACCACTCCAAACCAAGGGTTGCTTGACGTCTGAGGACAGGACTACTGCCCTCTGGCGCCTGCTGCAGCGCCGCGTTGCTCGGCCAGGCCAACCTGTGCCCAACCCCGGTGGCAGGCAAGTGCTAGTACATAGGCTTTTGGCTTTTTGGCTACAAAGTATACTACACAGCTTGTTCATAACGGGGGGTGAGCTTATGTATATATATATATATACACATAATTATGCATATGATGCATGTTATCCACAACAAGTTTTTTTGCTTGCACTCGATTTTGTTTGGCATTTTGTGAGTCTCATTTGGGGTGTTGCTGAAAGGGCCACATACATATGGCTGTGTCTTTTTCGGGGAGACCCCCAAATGGTGGCTTTGCTTGCGGTTTCCCTGTAACACCGCCAAACAAGAGTTACCCTCAAGAAATATACACTCAGCTATACGTGTATATGGAGCCCTGTTTGCCCCTTGGAGACGCAGCCAGACTCGAGCGAGTGCAAAAACTTTGGGTGAGGCTCACCACGCTGTCGCGGTCCCTGCGCTGGCGCCAGGCATGGCTCAAAGCAAGGTTTGGGTTTTCCAAAAAAGAAGGGGTAGGACACTAGTAGGGGTTGATCTGTGGTTTAGTGGTTGGGGGTGGCTTCCCATTTGCCCTCCGCAAAAACTAGGGGTTCAATCCCCAGACCTGGGGTTGTTTCGTTTTCCATTCTTTTCAGCCATCGTTCTTTTTAAAACCCGGATCCACTTCTCGAGGGTTTTTTGTTGGTTTTCTAGAAAGAAGATCCCTGGAAAGAAGGGGAGAAGTTACCCCTAGAACAGTGGTATACTTTTTGGGTTTGGGGTTTTGGGGTTTTGGGGTTTTGGGCGCCAGGCATGGCTCAAAGCAATGGTAGACACTTTGGGTTTGGGTTTTTTGGGGTTTGGAGCCCTGAATGGCTTTGCGGTTTGGGGTTTGGAGCCCTGAATGGTTTCCAACAAATGGTAGTCCTTTTGAATGGAGAAAGGGATTCCAAAGGTCCTGCCTTTACAGTCAGGGTTGGGCATGGAATGGGAAACGCAAATGGTTCGACTGATCGGGGGTTCATTGGTCAAAGGTGATTGCTTGTACGCGCAAAAGCTCTCACTTGGTTCTGGTTGATTGCACTCCCCAAGCTCGAAATGGGAAGGGAGCATCGGTTGTGTTCGGATATGGGTGTGGCTCAAAATTAAACAGCAGGGGTTACGCAGGTTTTGGTCCATGTTTCCACTTACCAGGGCAACCCATTTTGGAATTCCGTTTTTTTGAGCCACAGACATATAGCAACTTCCCTGCAAATGCAAAATATTCGCAGATCTTGGGATATTGGGGGGGGGGGGGGGGCGGGGACGACAGCACACCTTTTGCTGCCGCACTTGGCGGTATCAAGCGCTTCGCTGTGCAAGAATCATATGGAGCTGGGATGAAGAAGGTGGCCGGACATTTGGCAGTTTTTTTGTTCTCCTTTTTTTTTTCTTTCTCCTTCTCTTTTGTCATTTTCCCAGGCCGGAAATTCGGAAGCTTTTGGGCTCTTTGATCATTTTCCGATGTTGGTCGGGAGCGCGTGTCTGACCTGGATTTCTTCTGCATTTAGTCCTTCGAAGGCGCTGCACCTCTTCGCCGGCATCCAGGGGGAGCGCAGCAGGCGGGCCAGAGAGTCACTTTCACGACGCCGGATTCCGGCGCTGCCAAAACCCCATTTTGGTCCACGCGAAGGAGCGCTGTGCGCCCAGGGTTCCCACTTTTTGACTACCCCAGGGGTCGACTTAAACCCAGGGGTCGTTCGTTACCTCCAGGTTTGGGTTTAAGTCTATCTTGCGGTAGTCAAAAAGTGGAACCCTACGCCGACAAGCTTGGGGATGTGCCAACTGCATCTTGGCGAGGAACTGCTGCAATGCCGCCGTGGCGGCACTGGCCAAGGGCGGTCACTGGCAAGGCGCCTTGCACGTCGCCCGGCCCTTGGTCTAACTTTCGACAGAGGAGAGTCAAGCTGACTGAAAGATCGACCAAGTAAAAACTGGAGTGTGCCCACTTGCCACTGGCAACTGGAGTGAAGGTTCTGGCTAATTGTGTCCGAGTTAGACTGCCATGAAGGCATTTTTTTGTTTAGGTGCTTTTTTTTTTGAAGGGTACCTGTTTTTTGGGTGGTTTTCAAGGACCACCAACAGGATTGCCATTATTTTGGTTGGTCCAATCTCCCAAGCGGGCGAGAGATCTAGCGATCCTTTTGGCTGAGGTGCGGCAGATGGGCGCCGAGGCTGCGGACGCTCCCTCCCTCCATATGGGTGTGGCTCAAAATTTATGAGAAGGTTCGATTCTTTGGTTCCGTTTCCCGAGCCATTTTGGGGTTCCATTTTTTGAGCCACCCTATTCCTTTGTGGGTATGTTGTTTTCACCTTGGTTTAAAGGGAGGCAATTCAAAAAGAGAACCAGCAGTTTTCGGGTTCCACATGATGTGTGAACCTTGCCTGCTCCTGTCGGACCGGCAAACGCCTTTTGGACTCCATTAAAGTGGTCTTTGTGGGATGTTTGGACCACGCCCAACCTTACCTCGTGTACTACATGTGTATATAAAAGAACGTGGCACTCTTGAGCTAGAGCTGACAGAGTCCTTCATGTTTTGGACTTCTGTCAAGTTGCAACTTTCGGGCTGACGCTGCCAACACGTAACTCGTGTGGCACGCTTGCGGTCAGCCGACTTTCCAGCTAGAGCAGCCGAAGCACGCCTCGGGTGCTGCATGGGCACCGCGAAAGGCGCGGAACTTTCGAGAGGGAATGGCTTTGGTTTGTGTCACGTATGACAGCGGCAGGCAAAAGTACTCAAATGGCCAGGAGCGACAGGGTCGATAAAGCCTCGATACCTACAAGCAGGATGTGTGCCTTAAAGAAAAGCGGGGACCCCAAAAGCGTGCTAGTTTCCTTCCCGTTCCCCTTTCGAAACCACTCCACAAGGCCCCATAGGAGTATGGGTCAAACTCAAACCAACCAAAACCGCAGGTTTTGGTCATGGTTTCCATTTACCAGGGCAACCCATTTTGGGTACCAATTTTTGACCCACAGCCATATTGCGGTTTGGCTCTTGGCTCGTGCCTTTTCCAGGCGTGGCCGGCGCCCGACGCTGTGTCCTTCGGGGCTGCTTCAGACGCGTGCGCTCGGGCGCTGCGCTGGGATGTGTCTCTTTTGCTTTTGAAGGACCGGTGCCAGTGCCACATCCCACGCAAGCACCAGCACACGGCACAGGAACGGTACACAGTCAGACACGGCACATAGGCAGACAGGAGTGGGATCATACCACGGATCTGAGTTTAGACATCCTCAAGACTTTCTGTTCGCGGGTCGTTCACAACATCCTTCGCTAAACCTGGCATTGCGGCCAAAGGCTCGCGCCAGGAATCTCCGAGCCTTTTCAGCCTCACCAGCTGCATCGCTGCTCAGGCTGGGTTTGAGCCTCCCCTAGGGACTAGGGAGGTTTGCTTGAGGTTGGCCCGATCCTCCACCTGGACAATGATCCGAAAGCAGAAGCAGACGTGAGCCGAACTCATGCCCCCTTTTTCAATTTGGCAGTTGGAAAGAGCCAATCCAGATGAGCTCGGTGAGTAGAGACATGGGTTTGTTTGCCAGACCTCATGTCAGATTGGATTGGGGAGTTCTTCGACTGCTCAAGTCACCCTTGATAAGTCTGTTTGGGAGCGCCCGTGCATATTCGACCTTTCTTGCACATGCTCCCGGTAGGCTTGTGCCTTCTTTTTTCCGCCCAGGACAAGGCCAGCCAGTGGCAGCACGCCACTAGTCTTATGGGCAGGTGATGAGATGGGGTCACGAAACCCGAGTGCTGCTTTGACACTCGCTGGATACGCTTTGCTTTTCGCAGTCACCTATGAAAAATCACCCGTGTGAGTTCTGTGCTGATCTTTTGCCCTGTGAATTGCCATGCCAAGGCCTTGTCGTTGCTTGCCTGGGTCGGGGGCGCCAGGGGGCGCCAGGGGGCATGAGTGGAGAACAGCATAGCAACATCCACAGCGTGGGGAAACTCTGCGCGGGTTGCCAAGTTTCCGCTTAGACAGTACGCTGATTGCCTACACGTTCAATCAATCCCTCCCACCAATGAACATGGAACCTGACGTTCGGGAAATGGCCGCTTGAAAAGGGAACCCTGAAGTGACCGCCGGGCTCTGTCAAGCTGGCGCAGCTCCCAAGCCTATGGTCCATTTGGGGACATTAAATGGATGTGATGAGATTCTCCCATTCACCATGGTATCCGCATGTGGATGTGTCTGATAGGTTTCCCTTTGGTTTCCTTTTTGCAACCACCAAAACAGGTGTTCCCCTAATAAGGATGAGTTGCTGAGCCACCGCAGGCGGAAGATCGGAATCTGAAACCCAGCGCTGCGGTTCTCAACGCAGTGCTGGGCGCCTACGGCACCGGTGCCATGTGGGCGAAGTCCTCAGATTTCGCGGGATCCAACAGGGGTTTCATGGGATCTCAAAATGGTTTGTCTCAAAATTGTTTGAGATGGTTCTTGAGATCAAACTATCTTAGAACACAATTCTCGGGCTGATTTTGATTTTGATGGTTTGTCTCAAAAAGGTCTTTTTGGGGACGCCCTAAAGGGGTGAGTCTTCTCTTGGGTTTCTTTTGACATCAAGCAAAGGTTGCCAAAAAAGGCACACTCACACAAATTCTGCGCCAGATATTCTCTTGCGTTAGGTCGGCTTTGTCAGCCAGGACAATGTTTTGCGCATGCACATGGACCATTTCATTGCTTGACAAGGGATTTATCGTTTGACGAGAGTCGGGTAGATCATTCTGCATGACCCAGAGGACTACTGTGTGTTCCGCGTCTTCCCTCGCATTTGCCTTCTGGGACGAGGAAAGGATGTCAAGAGCGTCAAACCCCTCTTGCGATATCGAAACCGTGACGCTTTGTCTTTACGATTCCGCAGGTTTCTGTTATCACTCATTAGCTTCAATCATATTCAGCAGCCGTGGCAAAACAATTGACATCTATGTTGGTTCTGGGAGCTTTCCCTTCATGTCAATCTGTATGCTCGCGCGTCCAGAGCGATCGCTTCTCAAACCTTGCCCGTGATTTTCCCTGCCTACGTCACCTCTAGGCAAGTGTCACCTTCATTTGCATGATTTTGACTGTTGAGGGTTATCAAAGGCAGAAACTGGGATCGCTCCCCTTGAAAGCCCACCCCTTACCCCTTGGTCCAGCAAACGGTTTGGATGTGCTTTTTGTGGATATCACCTGTTCTTCTCCCTGTAGGTTCTTTTTTAGTACTCTTTTAGTCTCTTTCAAAGACCGCCTCCAACCCCGTTTCCTGGGCTTGGTGAAAAAACACATTGGCTCAAAAATCTGGAATTCCAAAATGGCGTGCCCTGGTCAGTGGAAAACACATGGGCACCAACACCTGCGGTTGGCCCCTCCGATTGGACCATTTGGAGCCACCGCCACCTGCCCCCCGCGCGTCGCTCCGTTCTCCAAGCTCCAAGTAGGCCCAAGCCTTGGAGCTCCTGGCACAGATGCGGCAGGTCCGGCGACCCAACCGCGGTAGCCGAGGTGTCAGGGAGGTAGTCTACTGGTTCAAGGAGGAGGATGGGACCAGCGCCACATGCATATATATATAGACACCGAGGGCAGCACAGTTTTTGTCCATGTCCTCTTGAAGAAGTCGTGTGGCATGTTGTTGGCTTTGGCGGTCTGCCGTCAAATTCTCCGGGCTCAGGGATTTCCTCTTAAGGGCAGATTGCAAGTTGCAAAATGTTTGCCTTTCACCTGCGTTTGTTTTCTTTGGCAGTAGCATGTTTCAGCCTCAGGCTATCTTATCATTCAGAGCATCAGCCTTCACACAGTCACAAAACAAGCATATGGGTACGACGTTTGCGCATTTTCCTAAATGGGGGAGTGAGTCAAGCATGGAGGGAAAGAGCGAAACTCAGCTGATTATTTGCTTGTCGCACTCGTGCAATACATCAATAAAGCAGTTTTGACGACACTTCGCACCACGGCAGAAGCATTTTGACAGACTGATCCAGAACTACTCCAATGCCCAGTCTTCAAAACGAGTCTTCAGAATGAGTCCGCAACCTGTTCCACTAAGACCAGGTCTGGTTTTGCATTGGACCTGATTTTCACTTGATCACGAATCCCAGAAGCTCCCAGAAGGTACACAGCTACAATCAATTTGGCCTTTTGGCCATGTCCTGATTGGAGGTCTTGTGGGCCGGGTTTACTTGGCTTTCCCGCATACCAAGCCGGTCCCAGTAAGTCAGACGCACAAATCCATTTGGCCGGTCCGTCAGGTGGGCCCGGCGCTCGAGGCTCAGCGGGCTTGGAATCCAAAAATCCCCCCGGTTCAATGGGTGGTTTTCTTTGGCTCAAGGGTGGTTTTCTTTGGCTCAAGGGCGGTTTTCTTTAGCTTAAGGGCGGTTTTCTTTGGCTCAAGGGCGGTTTTCTTTGGCTCAAGGGCGGTTTTCTTTGGCTCAAGGGTAGTTTTCTTTGGCTCAAGGGCGGTTTTCTTTGGCTCAAGGTTGTTGTTTTTTTAGCTCAAGGGCGGTTTTCTAGAGCTCAAGGGTGGTTTTCTTTGGCTCAAGGGTGGTTTTCTTTGGCTCAAGGGCGGTTTTCTTTGGCTCAAGTTTTTTTTTAGCTCAAGGGTGGTTTTCTTTGGCTCAAGGGAGGTTTTGTTTGGCTCAAGGGTGGTTTTCTTTGGTTCAAGGGCGGTTTTGTTTGGCTCAAGGGTGGTTTTCTTTGGCTCGAGGGCTGTTTTCTTTGGCTCAAGGGTGGTTTTCTTTGGCTCAAGGGCGGTTTTCTTTGGCTCAAGGGTGTTTTTCTTTGGCTCAAAGGTGGTTTTCTTTGGCTCAAGGGCGGTTTTCTTTGGCTCAAGGGCGGTTTTCTTTGGCTCAAGGGCGGTTTTCTTCAGCTCAACATTGGTTTTCTTTAGCTCAAGGGCGGTTTTCTATAGCTCAAGGGCGGTTTTCTTTGGCTCAAGGGCGGTTTTCTTTGGTTCAAGGGCGGTTTTCTTTGGCTCAAGGGTGGTTTTCTTTAGCTCAAGGGTGGTTTTCTTTTTGCTCAAGGGTGGTTTTCTTTGGCTCAAGGGAGGTTTTGTTTGGCTCAAGGGCTGTTTTCTTTGGCTCAAGGGTGGTTTTCTTTGGCTCAAGGGTGGTTTTCTTTGGCTCAAGGGTGGTTTTCTTTGGCTCAAGGGCGGTTTTCTATGGTTCAAGGGCGGTTTTCTTTGGCTCAAGGGCGGTTTTCTTTGGCTCAAGGGTGGTTTTCTTTGGCTCAAGGGCGGTTTTGTTTGGCTCAAGGGCGGTTTTCTTTAGCTCAACATTGGCTTTCTTTAGCTTAAGGGCGGTTTTCTAGAGCTCAAGGGTGGTTTTCTTTGGCTCAAGGGTGGTTTTCTTTAGCTCAAGGGCGGTTTTCTTTAGCTCAAGGGCGGTTTTCTTTGGCTCAAGGGCGGTTTTCTTTGGCTCAAGGGCGGTTTTCTTTGGCTCAAGGGTGGTTTTCTTTGGCTCAAGGGTGGTTTTCTTTGGCTCAAGGGAGGTTTTGTTTGGCTCAAGGGCGGTTTTCTTTGGCTCAAGGGTGGTTTTCTTTGGCTCAAGGGCGGTTTTGTTTGGCTCAAGGGCGGTTTTCTTTAGCTCAACATTGGCTTTCTTTAGCTTAAGGGCGGTTTTCTAGAGCTCAAGGGTGGTTTTCTTTGGCTCAAGGGTGGTTTTCTTTAGCTCAAGGGTGGTTTTCTTTAGCTCAAGGGCGGTTTTCTTTAGCTCAAGGGCGGTTTTCTTTGGCTCAAGGGCGGTTTTCTTTGGCTCAAGGGCGGTTTTCTTTGGCTCAAGGGTGGTTTTCTTTGGCTCAAGGGTGGTTTTCTTTGGCTCAAGGGAGGTTTTGTTTGGCTCAAGGACGGTTTTCTTTGGCTCAAGGGTGGTTTTGTTTGGCTCAAGGACGGTTTTCTTTGGCTCAAGGGTGGTTCGCTTTGGCTCAAGGGCGGTTTTCTTTGGCTCAAGGGCTGTTTTCTTTGGCTCAAGGGTGGTTTTCTTTGGCTCAAGGGCGGTGTTCTTGGGTCAAGGGTGGTTTTCTTTAGCTCAAGGGCGGTTTTCTTTGGCTCAAGGGCGGTTTTCTTTTGGGTTTGGTCCGAGAATGGATTATAAGATTCAGCAGCTCATGCTGAATCTTCACCTTTGCGATCTCAAGGGACCTAAAATTGAGTGATGGCCAATCCAGGAGTGACCCCTGAATGAAGCTCCACCAGGGAAGTGAAATCGAAAGCTGTGGCTTTCACTGCGTTCATGACTTATCCTCAACCAAGTTGAGAATTTTGTGATTTTGCTTCTCTTGAGACAGACACACACACACACACAGACGGCCTGCTGTTCGATCGAAGGCCCAACGCCATCTCGCTGAACACCGCGCTGCGCGGCCTTTCGCATGCGGGGGTCTGAGTGTTGGTGTGCTCCAACTCAGAACTGCCAGGCTGTCGAAATGGCCTGAGGCTCTGGGCATTGTGTTTCCACGTGGGGCACATTGATAGGAGACATTGTCTGGGCTCAGCCAGGGGGCATCCAAGCTAAGGCGAGAAGCGAACAGGGTGTCAAATTGTGCTCTTGAGCTAGGTTGCAACACCTTGGAGAGGATCCGAGTGGCCGCATTTTTTAGCACCAGCTCAGAGATATGTCGAACCCGCGGGTATGACCTCATCCGAATGTTTGAAACCTCCGGGGTGCACCAAGACTTCGCCTTGCGGCTTGTCCACTGCCGCCATCACCAACGCCGACTTGAGGTGAAGCTAGAGGGGTGGCAGCGTGGTTTGCAACCGCGGAGCAGTGGGCCCCAACTTCTTGTGTTGATTTGCGGATTGCGAAGGTCAGCCAATGGACCTTGGCGCTAGCTACTTTCGAGCTCTTCAAGGAGGGCGCGTTGGTAGCATGTCAGAGACGGCGATGTTGACTGAGAGTGTTTTCAAGCTGCACATTGGAGTTCGTTTGAATGCCCAAGTGCACTTCAGGAGCAGGGGCTGAAGCCATCTAACATCTCGTACACCAGCCTGATGACGGCTCTAGCCTGATTCCAAGCCTTTGCGCACCGAAAGTGGGCTTGCCAGTGTTGGATGAGCCTGTCTTTTCTGGGATGCTCAGTTTCTTTTTTGGTGACGAAAGGGAGACCAAAAGAACGGTCACCATTCACCATTTTGGGGGGGTCCCCAATAAAAGACACCAGGATAGTGGTGATGGATGGCTGTGGATAGTGATGGATGGAGTTGCACATATACATGTGGCGGTGGGTCAACACCAATGGTACCGTTTTGCGGTAGGTGCACCACCCAGAATAGTCTAGTGTGGGGATTGGGATGTTCACTGGGTACGGGGTTTTGACTCATGGCCATATATATATATATATATATACATATAGGCATATATATATATATATATATATGGACATCGATGCCACTGTCTCGTTTAAGGCCAATGCGGAGCTGTGGCAGCAGGCATGAGTACCGCCCTGTCGCTGGCAAAAGGGGCAAGCCATGCTTCCAGTTTCAATTGGGACAGCGCTGCATAGTGTCCGTCTCAAAGGCTGGAACACCCTTGAAACAGGTGGAAACAATTCCCATACCAGGCCTGATCAAACTCAAGAAATATACACATATATGTTTATATGTAGATACGTACATACGTACCTACTTATGAGCTAATAATATATATATATATATATATGTGTATACACATATATTCAGTGTATCAGTGTGGGTATATGTTGGATACATATATATATATATATATGTATATGTATATACCAGCGGATGTAGCGGCAATTTGTGTGCATACGCCAGGCTATACCCCTCATACAGGTGATATTTAAGGGAATGCAGTGCAATGTGATGTAATGCAATGTCATGCGGTTTAATGTGCACATATACACACATGCATATGTATTTGCGTGTTTGCGCATTTATGTATCTCTGCCTATCTGCATATATGCCTATTCGTATATGTAAGCACACACATATATATATATATGTCTATATTTATATATACACATACACATAGGTACACATATATATATATATATCTACATTTATACACACAACTATGTATACCTATGTATATATATATATATATACGCACAGAGGTCTTCTCCAGGCGTCCTGTCCACCTGTCCCGTCGCGTGAACCGCGAGGCGCTGCAGCAGCTGAAGTCCCACGCCGCGCCCGACGTGGTGGCCTTCAACGCCGCCCTCACGGCGCGGCGCCGGGCCACGAAGCGTCGCGGGCGCGGCGGTTTGGCGCGTCGCAGGGGGCGAGGGCCTGGGGGGGGGGAGGGGGGGGATTTTTCGAAGTTTCAAAGGGGTTTTGGGTAGTTTTTCGGGGGAAAGCGGAAACCAGAAAGCCCTCTTTCCATGGAGCTAGTTGAAGAAACTCCTGAGGACCGCGTTCCTTTCGTAAATTGTTTTTGTGAGGCTCGACCCTTTTGTTGGTTGGTATTTGAAGGGGGACGAAATGGAAACCACAAAAGACCGCGGATCGAATATGTTTTTGACGCACACACACACACACACACACACCCGCACACTCACATTTCCAACGCAGCTGGCTATGATTTCAAGAGTTGGGACTCGCTGTAATTTGGCTGGTGGACACAAAGCCCCACGTAACCAATGCGTTCCCCACAAAAGCATACTCAGGAGGGTGAAACTAGTCACAATTCCAACTCATTTGGCTTAGTCATCCCTTTACTTGTCCACAGCCCGGAGTTGTGCTAACTTTCTGATGTAGTCCAACTGTTTACTTGGGAACATACAAAGCATGTGTTTTTTTTTTGTGGGGAAACTCAGTACTATCAGGCCAAGAACACGGTCCGGATTAACCCAATGTGTAACTACATGACTTGGATTGGTGGCTTGGATTGGTGCGCAAATCATCATGTGGTTATGATGCCCAGCAAAGGTAAGACAATCCTTCGTTGGTGGATGGGTGGCTTGGGGAGTTACACCAATGGTTCTTTGTTGAGGGTAAATGCCAAACAACCCGTCAAAGGTAACCTGAGTGGAAGGGCTCATTGCTTGGTGCCGGAGGTGTTACCACTTGGAAGGCGCGCAACGATGTGTTACAACTCTGGAAAAGGCGGATGTATTCCCTATAGCGACTGTACAATAACTTTACAAGAGACTGTGCGCATCACATAATATATATATATATATAATGTTATGTACATACGCATCTATTTTGACAGTCTGTCCATGCACGTTAGCATCACATATACACCAGCAAACGAATGATACCTGCCGCACACAAGTGTATCCCACTTTTCTCTTGCCAGGCAGCCAGCCGTTCTACTCTTCCAGCAGTTGCTCTTTCGCTGTTGAGCCTGGGCTGCATTGTCAACGATGGGAGATCGGATTTGGCATATGGGTCTGTCTTTAGGGCAACTCTGGCATATATAAACCAAAAAACAGACCCATATGCCAAACAGACCTAAAAACTTCGGTGTTTGGATACTCCCTGAACCGGGCGAGAACTTTTCGAGAACCTCGAAGTCAGGTCCAGCCAGCCAGCCCAACAGCCAGCCCAGCCAACCAACCAACTAAGCAACCAAAAGAGAAACAAAGAAACAAACCACAAGGAAAGGAACACTCGCGCAAGCAAGCAAGCAGGCAGGCAGGCAAGCAAGCACACACACAAACAAACACACCGGAACACAGACACACAAACACACGAGGAAACAGACATGCAGACACACAAAGAAGCAAGCAAGCAACCAAACAACCAAGCAAACTATCCAACCAACCAACCAACCAACCAACCAACCAACCAACCAACCAACCAACCAACCAACCAACGAACCAACCAACGAACCAACCAACGAACCAACCAACGAACCAACGAACCAACGAACCAACGAACCAACGAACCAACGAACCAACGAACCAACGAACCAACGAACCAACGAACCAACGAACCAACGAACCAACGAACCAACGAACCAACGAAAACAATCGAAAACAAACGAAAACAAACGAAAACAAACGAAAACAAACAAACAAACAAACAAACAAACAAACAAGCAAGCAAGCAAGCAAGCAAGCAAGCAAGCAAGCGATCGGGCAAACAGGCAAGCAAAGAGACTTGCATGGTTCTGCAGTTTGTGAGCAATTTCGGAGTGATTGCAAGCAAAGAGACTTGCATGATTCTGCAGTTTGTGAGCAGTTTCGGAGTGATTGGGGTCCCCGAACTTGACTAGATGGTGGACATGAATCACTCCATGTGAGTGATGTCCTTCAAAGGATCCCAGATTGAGATACTCATGTTGAGTGTTCTGAACCACATTCCCATTTTGCATGTGCTTCAACAAATTTTCGTACCCGCCGCAGGAAGGAGCTCAAGCTTTGCGGTTTGCAGCCGCAGGTGACGTCCTACAACATAGCCATGCCCTGAGACTGGGCTTCAAACAATTGCCCAGGTCCTTTGGCTGTTGTGAAAACCGTTTTGCGATCCCATTTTGGTTGGTAGGCGAATTCACCACCCCTTTGAGAACCTATTTTAGTGGTTGGATTGGGATGTTCATTGGGGGTACGATTTGGATTTTGACCCATGGCCGATTATTTTTTACCCCGCCTGCGTTCCATCAAGTCAGTCGTTGATGGGTGTGGTTTCTGTATGGCACCTGCGGCCTATCACGACCTGGCTTCACGCCCAGGGTTAGTAGAGGAGACAAGTAGCGCGAAAAGCAAGCCAGAGATTTCCCGCAAAAAATGACCCAGACTCACGCCTTAGTTGGGGCCCAGTAGGAGTTCGCACAACAGCCAGGGTGCATCCAACTTTGCTTTCGGGGTCACATGAGTCACATTCATCAAATCCCGGGTAATTGGAGGGTAGAAAGGGACAATCCCGGCTATACACGGTTTCTGGGATTACGTCTTGGGGGGTCTTCCAGGTTTTGATGATGACTCGCGTGGTGTCGCACGGTTTTGGGTCCGTTTCCTTTCGCTGCGCGCTTCCCTGAGAAACGAGGCTCTGAGCTGCCAGCCCTGGGCTGAAGCGCTGCGGCGGGGCTCCTCCGGGACTCGGTGAAACGGGCTGAGCCACTTGCTGAACACCGATTCGGGTAGATGGTTAGGTTAGTAAGGGACGATCCCCTGGCCATAAATAGCTCAAATCGGACATCCGCCTTCGAAATTTCCTTTACATGGTTCTGGCTTCACCATTTTTTTGCCGGGTTTTGATTGCGACTCACCTTGTCTGGAAGGGAAGCCAACAGAAACATTGCAATTGGGGGGTTGCAAGTCCCTATACTTTAGAGCCTCCGGCTCAGTCCGCCGACATTGTCCTCTCCCTTTTCTCCTTCTTCCTCTCTTGCTTGTCTCCCTTGTGTGTTCTGTCGTCCTCTCTCCCTCCCTCTGCTCCCATCCTCCCCATCCCCCCAAGCCTCTCTCTCCCCACTCTCCCTCTCTCGTATGTATGCATGCATGTATGTATGTATGTATGTAATGTATGTGTGTATGTAATGTATGTGTATGTATGTATGTATGTATGTATGTATGTATGTATGTATGTATGTATGTATGTATGTATGTATGTATGTATGTATGTATGTATGTATGTATGTATGTATGTATGTATGTATGTATGTATGTATGTATGTATGTATGTATGTATGTATGTATGTATGTATGTATGTATGTATGTATGTATGTATGTATGTATGTATGTATGTATGTATGTATGTATGTATGTATGTATGTATGTATGTATGTATGTATGTATGTATGTATGTATGTATGTATGTATGTATGTATGTATGTATGTATGTATGTATGTATGTATGTATGTATGTATGTATGTATGTATGTATGTATGTATGTATGTATGTATGTATGTATGTATGTATGTATGTATGTATGTATGTATGTATGTATGTATGTATGTATGTATGTATGTATGTATGTATGTATGTATGTATGTATGTATGTATGTATGTATGTATGTGTATGTATGTATGTATGTATGTATGTATGTATGTATGTATGTATGTATGTATGTATGTATGTATGTATGTATGTATGTATGTATGTATGTATGTATGTATGTATGTATGTATGTATGTATGTATGTATGTATGTATGTATGTATGTATGTATGTATGTATGTATGTATGTATGTATGTATGTATGTATGTATGTATGTATGTATGTATGTATGTATGTATGTATGTATGTATGTATGTATGTATGTATGTATGTATGTATGTATGTATGTATGTATGTATGTATGTATGTATGTATGTATGTATGTATGTATGTATGTATGTATGTATGTATGTATGTATGTATGTATGTATGTATGTATGTATGTATGTATGTATGTATGTATGTATGTATGTATGTATGTATGTATGTATGTATGTATGTATGTATGTATGTATGTATGTATGTATGTATGTATGTATGTACGTGTGTATGTATGTATGTAATGTATGCATGCATGTACATATGTATGTATGCATGTGTGTAATGTAATGTAATGTATGTGATGTGATGTGATGTAATGTAATGTAATTTAATGTAATGTAATGTAATGTAAGTGAGTAAGTAAGTAATGTAATGCATGTAATGTATGTACGTATGTATGTATGTGTGCATGCATGCATGCATGCATGCATGCTTACATACATGTATGCATGTATGTATGTAATGTAATGTATGTAATGTCATGTAATGTCATGTAATGTAATGTAATGTAATGTACTGTAATGTATGTATGTATGTATGTATGTATCCTTGCACTTCCCCTTTGCTCCCCAGTATTTCCCGCAAAAAAAACACGGTTTTTCCAGCGTTTTCGCAAAGAGGACGTCCAAAAACATTGAGTTTTTCCAGATTTTCGGCAAAAGGATGCAGGAAGCCCAAGCCAGCAAAAAAGCCGGCAGGGGGAATCGAGCCTGGGACCCCTGTTTTGCGACACCGGCTCCCCGAAGACTACGTTTAGTGGAACGTCATCAAATTGCCGCGCGGTACGTGGGGGACCCCCCCCCCTCCCCCCCCCCCCCAAAAACCTACGTAATAGACGTCGGGCGGGGGGGGGTTAGGGGGGGGGTTATCCTCTATCCTCTAGTAAGTATCCGACACGCCGAGCAATGTCGGCGGATAGACTCACATCCAAGTGATTTTTTGGGAAACGGAAAGTGCTGGTCCGGCGAATACTTGAAATCCACAAAGCACCCTTGCTGGCGCTAGTGGGGTGCCCGCAGAGGCACATGTACAACACTTCGTCCTTGCCGGAAGCAGGATAACGGCCTATGCAAAAAAAGAGCATTGAGATCACAGCCAAGCTCAAGCAGAATATGGTGACCAAGGCTCCATAGCAAATCCAGCAAACTTTATCTCCTGGAGTACTCTCAAGGTCAGAATCGTTGCCGTACTCAGGGCCCCTGCAAGGATACATTCAGGCCAGCAAACAAGCCACCCTTGCCGGCTGTTTTGGAGGCTCCCCTTGTGGCTGTCTCCTTTAAGGAGCCCTGGAGCTGTTAGTCCGAGCCACCTTGCATGCATGCGTGCAGGCGTCGAGCAAAGGCAAGACCTTTGAAAGACAAATGTGGGTGTGTTTTTTTTTGGGGAATTTCAACACAAACAACACACATATGGTGTTTTTCCTGTTGGCTTCCCATCTTAAAACGACTGCACAGAATGGGGTATCCTCAAAAGACACACCAATATGCGCGCTGAAAGCAGACAGACCTTCTTCTTGGCTCTTTTGGGCCAGGCTACTAGATGAGATGCCGTTCCCTGGCCTTGGTCTCAGTGAGAGCCGAGGGACGTCCGGAAGCGGCGCCATGTTTTTTGCGCTGGTTGGTTTTGGGATTTTCTCGCCGGGTAGTCCTTTGGTGCCCCTCTTATCTGCCAAATTCTTGGACCTGGAGTTGCATTTTGGCACCTTGAGTAGCAACCTTCCCGTCCTGTTTCTTCCAAGTGCCTTAGCCTGAACTTTTTACCCATGAAAGATTTTGGATCCACGCAAAAACCGGTGATTCAGATTGTGACTGGCAACCTCTTCGGCAGCCCTCATCGGTGGTCGTTTGGTTTCAGAAGGTGCATCCATCTAGGTGTAAAAAAGGCTGAGGTCAAAAACGTGCATCCATCTAGCCAAGGTCTTTAAAAGAACTTGCCCGCCCCATGGCGGGCCGCTGTCTTTGGTTTCCACCCGGGGTCTGGATCTGCGAAACTCGCGCCAGGGGACCACGTCACCTATCGGGTGGCTCTGGAGGTGCTGGCGCAGGCGCCGCTGGAGCTGGCGTTGAGGCGGGATCGCGGATCGGGATCGCCGTAGTTGCGCGGGGAACCCGGTTCCGCTTTTTTTTTGGTCGAACCTAGTTCATCAACTTTGGTTTATTAATCGGGTGGGGGAAAACCCCTCCAGTGATCTGATTCCAAGCACATTTCACCCGACCCCCTTGAAATCAGCTTCCCCTTTGGTTTCGAGTGGAACTTGAAGTCCAGTTTGTTTTGACGCCAAATGGGGAGAAGGCAAGCCCCCCAACGTCCCAACCAAAGCGAACCGCCAAGGAGCGGGATTCCAGGGGGATGGTTAAACGACGGCCCATGTAAGCTATTCTTTGAGGCCCCAAACTGGCACGCAGGAGGGGTAGCAAGGGAGGAGGCGGGAACTGGATCCCCCCCCACCCCTCCGCAGCGAAGAACTCGTCGCCGTCGCTTTTTGGGATTGCCGATTCCTGAAAGACTGGTTGCCGCTAGGGAGCTTCTTGTGGGTTCCATGTTACTGGACAGGAGGGTTAATGAAGAATAGATCTCTGGTTGAGCAACGGGGCCACAGAAGCTCCCCCGAAAGCCCAGGATTCCCATCTGCAAGCCGGACAACCCATGCGATTGAAAGCCGGCTTTCTCTTCAAGGCACAGATGGCGAGTAGAATCCCAACGGGTGAGATCTCGCTGTTTTTCTTTTTTGGCCTGGCTCTCCCCCTTTTTCTCTTGAACCTTGAACGTCTGATGGAGAGAAATATCAGTCTGGAATCACGCCTTACAAGAGCTTGTCACAGAAGGAATGTCATGAAAGCATCCTTCCCGGCCAGACACAAAATCCAAGTTGAGAGTTTAGATGCCAGAGTAGGGCTCGAACCAAAAGACTGTTTGGATAACTCTCGTGGTTGCTCAACTTGCTGAGTGCCCTGAATTGCTCGCTTGGCCCTCACAGAACTCGTGCAGTGGAGCGATCGCAACATGCATTGCTCAAACACACATGGAACTTTCTGAAAGTAACGCACCCCCTTTTTGGTGCTTAATATGCGAAACCCATTAGGACTCCACGCCTTCTTTGTTTTTTTTGGAAATAGACCCTCGTTGGCAGAAACAATGGAGCTCGTGCTTTGCGACAGTTTCCACCGCGACTCCGTGGATGCTGGCCTTGCTCTTGGCCCAAGACAGGCGGGCTGACGCGTTGATCGATGCAAGCTTCGGATGCGGCACCGAAAGAAGGGCTCAGTGAAGAGTCATGGGGGAGGGGGAGGGAGGCCAAATAAGGCCTTATTAAGCCCTCAATAAGCCCGTATTTGAGACATATGTGGGCTCCCTCCCCTCCCTCCCCCAGCGCCCATGATCAACGGCTTGTGTTGGCCATCATTCTGTCTGGGCGCGGAGGCAGATGGAGTCGGCAAGCAGTCAGGATGCTTGAATCGGAGCAATCAGCATGTTGGGTCCGAGGGATATGGCAGGAGACCCCGTTCCTCCCCACAGCCGCTTTTTTGACCCCATCCAGCCACTTGCTAGGCTGCTCTTTTTGTGGCTTGTTTTGTGAGCACAGCACATGTCAATGAAAGTAACGTTCTTGCCCCTAGCAGATAGCCACTTTCAACTCGGCTATATTTGAGCCAGGATACGCATTAGAATCACAGAAAGTGAATTTTAGGAAGCCCCCCCATTAAATCACAAGAACCACTCAAGTAGTTGGACGGTAAGGGAAAATCCCAGCCACAAATGGGTGCGAAGGCCTTTTCAATTCTTTACATGGTTGGGAGACAACTTCAATACGGGGTTTTGATTATGACTCAAGTCTCCTGCAGCATCGATTCTTTCACGTTGGAGAGATGGCAGAGGCTGACAAGTGGCAAGTAAAAGAGATCGCCGGGCTTCTTGGCCATCAAGGGCAAGCTTTGGCGTCTCTGCCCAAAGAAGCCCGGCGTGGTTCAGCTTTTGGGGAAGGTTCCGCTGCGTTCAAGCAAACTCTGAGGGAGGCTGTTGGGGATCTCTGCCCTGAGCGTATTGTTTATCAGAGCCTTTGCCTCGCAGATATCAATAAGCAAAGATTCGAGTCAACTGATACTTGCTGGTGAATGTGGGAATGAACCCAGGCCTTGGTCCCCTTAAAGGAAAAAGAGAACCAGTTGGATGGTTTTTCTCTTGGTCACTCCAATTCTCCTTCCTGCTCCCCCCCCCACCCCACACCCCCCCCCACCCCACACCCCCCCCCCTCCACCCACCCCACACCCCCCCCCCCCACCCCCCGAGCACCATTAGCACCATGGCTTCAGAAGGGCCGGAGGCAATTTTTTGCGAGGTCACAGATCTCCATGGCCTGTCACTGGAGGCGGGGCAAGAGAAAGAGGCGCTGCTCGCGAATTTTGCGCTTTTCTGAGCTGCGAATCGAGTCTTTCTTAGCCGTTCTTTTGGTTCAAGGGGAACCAGACAGAGTTTTTGTTTTGTTTTGTTTGTTGTTTTTGTTTGGGTTCAAGGGGAAACCAAAAGGATACCGACTCATACCCATATAGACGGGGCAAGTCCTGCTAGCTGCTACATTGAGCCATAATTAAAACATGGGTAAGCGAAGAGGGACAGTCCCAGCCAAAATTTGGTGCGGCCGCCTTTGTAGTTCCTTAGATTGGTTTCGATAGACCATTTCAAACATGACCCGGGCAGACGGAGGGTAATTCGTTCTAAGTCAGGGTCAGTGCCAGCCCAAACATTTTTGGTGCGGCCGCTCCCTCTCCGTATTCTTCACATGGTTTTGGGTAGACCAGCTTGATGGAATGCCAGCGTTTCCTTTTTTGACTAGTCCGGGTTCGGGCTTACCTCCAGTTGACCAGTTGGTTGGTTGGTTGGTTGGTCCACTTTGATTCCCGGCACTTTGATTGTGACTCACTCAGGCGGCGCGAGTGCAGGTTTGCGCAGACCTCTTGCACGCTGCGCTGCAAGGCCGGCAGGGTGTTTTTTTGCTTTGCGACCGAAGCCGGCGGATTCCGTCGATCCGTCGAGGGTGTGACTTTCCTCAGTTGTTCAGTGGCACCCTTTTCCCCCTTTTTCTTTGGTGGCTGCCTCACCAAGAGTGGTCTTCCCCGAAAAGGGTTCCCCATTTTTTCCCAGAGTCACTGAACAACTGAGCTACAATCAACACCCGGGTAGATGCAGGTTAGTAAGTGGCAGTCCCAGCTGGAAACAGTTGCGGCCGCCTTTCTAATTCTTGAAGCATGGATCTGGGTTCACCGAATTTTGTGTACCGATCGGTTTTGAGCAAGTGACTCAACTGAGCTTTCTGAGAAAGGAAAAAACTCTGCCGACAGCCCGTTTGGCTCAGACCGAAGGCCCGGAGCTAGATCTAAAATGGCTCCTTGGCTTCAGACCTGGCACGCTGCTTGCGGCCAACACCCGCCCAGCGGATTTTTTTTCTTTCTCCGGATTTTTTGGGCTTCCGTGTTCAGTGGTGTGGCTCTTGCCGTAGTCCCTTTGGCTTCCACAATTGGGTGTGTTCTTGTGAGGGAACCAATTCAAGGCCGGTTCAAAGGGACACCAAAAGCCAGGATAGGCTTGTGTAGTTTGTCTTTTTGTGCCCCCTTTGGCTTTAGGCAGCACTTGAAGACGGATCACCATGCCGTGTGCAACAAATCGCAAGGAAAAATCATTTGAAGGGAAACCAAAAGGATAAACCATTTGTCTTGGGAAAAAAAGGAGAAACCAAAAGGATAAACATCATACTCCCCCCCCCCCAATACTTCCTCCCCCCAAAAATGGCCAAGGTTTATCAAGTTCCGGGGGTGGAGTATAGGCTCCTGTGAAAACAGCGTGTCTAAATAGCCTGTTTACAACAGGGCTCCTGAAAAGATCTCCATTTTGCAACCAGTTGAACCATGTTGCTTTTTCAACACCAAACAAGGGAAACCGCCATTTACAAGTTGCAATGTTCAGGTGTATTATGTAAGGATCCCTGTACAACCTCTTGGCACCAACATGTGTCCCCATGCTTAGGTCTTCAGGGAGCGGGACGCAGTCCTGGCGCTGGGCGGCTTCGACATTGTAGGCCTGGCGCGCTTAGGGCTCACGCAGCGCGGCTGGGCCAAGTCGGTGTTCAGCGAGCAACTGGTGCCAGCGTTGAGCGCTCGCCTGGGTCTCAAGGTTCTGTGACTCGGAGCATTGAGAATGGGAAGCATTGCTGAGAAAGCGCAATGTGGATCTGGTCCAAATTGATCTACTTGGCTGGTTCTGAATTTGGTAAGGTGAGATTGCGGGTTGCGGGGTCAATCATCATGGAATGATATGTGAAGAACATAATATGCGCACATCTACATGTGTATCTGGCCGCGTATATTATAAATATTACATTATATGGCAATGCAATACATAAAACCAAATCACATCAAAATACATTACGTGACACGACATGACATGCCATAACACAACAGAACACACCAACACAAACCACAGCACAACATGCCGCGACGCAACACACATAACATACATAACATACATAGCATACATAGAATACATGACATACAACGCATACATGCCACACACACACACACGATACATACCTCACACGTCGTACATACCATCCATGCCTCACACGCCGTACATACCATACATACGATACGATACGATACGATACGCTACGCTACGCTACGCTACGATACACAACGATACGGTACGATACATACATGTGCATGCATGCATGCATACACAAATACATTCATACATACATACATACATACATACATACATACATACATACATACATACATACATGCATACATACACATACATACATGCATGCATGCATACATACATACATACATACATACATACATACATACGTACATACACACATACGTACGTACATACATACATACAGACAGACAGACAGACAGACAGACAAACAGACATACAGACAGACAGGCAGACAGACAGACAGACAGACAGACAGACAGACAGACATACACATACATACATACATACATACATACATACATACATACATACATACATACATACATACACATACATACACACATACATACATACATACATACATACATACATACATACATACATACATACATACATACATACATACATACATACATACATACATACATACATACATACATACATACATACATACACATACATACATACATACATACATACATACATACATACATACATACATACATACATACATACATACATACATACATACATACATACATACATACATACATACATACATACATACATACATACATACATACATACATACATACATACATACATACATACATACATACATACATACATACATACATACATACATACATACATACATACATACATACATACATACATACATACATACATACATACATACATACATACATACATACATACATACATACATACATACCTACATTACAGAGATACACAAATGCATGCATACATGCATACATATGGGTGTAGACCCATTAAGAGTTCCAGCATTGGACTGTGGGCCTCACACTCAGACTTGAATCCACTGGAGAACAGCGGCATCAGTGTCCCATCTTTGAAGCTTTGAACATCGATGCTGCTGAGGTCCTTGTGCCAGAGGCTTCCTGAAGGGGATAGGTCATAGGCTTTGTGGTCCAGCCCAAAGCAATCACCAATAGTCCTAGATATGATGGACCCGTTTTGGTGGGTTGAGGCTATAGTTTCTATTCGTCACTGTGTTCTATGACTTGGCTCCACATCAGAGAACTGAAGCTGTGGCCGGTGATTCTCGTCAAAGCGGCTCTCAGGCCATTCTCGCTGGAGCTGCTGTCGGTGTGCGTCGCAGTGCGGGGATGGCCTCGTCGCGCAGATGACACGAAGCCTGGCAGTCAGCGTGGAGCGTGCTGCCAAGTACTGCGCTGCATTCCGCGCTGCTTGCACCTTGGGGACCTTTGGGACCTTTGGGACTCGGACACGGCAAGCGAAGAACTGTCCGGTGAGGCGTCACTGTGCAAACTGCATCCGCTGTAGAGGAAGCACAAAGGCCGTTTTAGCCTCAGAGCGCCCACAGCCCTTGTATCATTTGCATTGCTCCGCTCCTGTGCTTGAGCATATCGGGGCTGGCACGAGGGATCTAGGTGTTTCTTGGCGCACACACAGTCGCCTCTCCCGCTACTCATGCTTCGACCATATATATCAACTTGTGCATTTTGGCCAAAGGAACCAGCAACTGGCCTTGGCCTTGTCACCCCGGTTTCCCGACACGAGTCCCCAGGACAACTGCACCCATGTTGCAGTGGCCTTTTTCGAGCCTCAAACCTGTTTTCAAACTTTCTTTTATAAGCTTTTGGTTTATGGGCCCCAAACAGGCGGTCGAAACCACAGTGTCTCCATGTTGATGAAACCTGCAGTTGGTACTGTTCTTCACAGTTGGCTTGAGGGAAGCTACAATTCGTTGACCCGCGGACACGTTCCGCTCGTCGCAGACTTTGGCAGTGCGAAAGCAAGCTGCGTGAGCTCTCTGCGTGGCAAAACGCGATTGGAAGCTGCTCTGCGTGAGCTTGGGATAGTGGTCAACTGAACACTTTTCGGTGAGTGCGAGTAGAGGCGTCCCTTTGATCGGTGAATTTGGTTCGAAATGTCTGGGTTCTACGGATTTACATAGGTTCTATGCCCATGGATTTTCTCATTTTTCGGACCTACTCAGCTCGTGTGACAAACCGGTCCAGAAAGCCAAAGGCTTGGGCTCCAGTGGGTCATCTTTGGGCCAGCCTGAGGCGCTGTGGATCGCTCGTACATCGTGGGCTTGGGCCGCGGCAGTGACAGTGGCGAGGCCGTCTTGGGGCCCCTCGGCGGAACAGAGCTTGAGATCTGAGGGAGGATCATTGCGCACAAGTTGGGTGGCTGGTGGACTTTTTGACCCCCAAAACCCCCAAGACAGAAGGTGGCTTCGGTTTTCCTTCTGGGTTTCCCTTTTGGGTGCCACCCAAGAAAAAGAGCCGGCGACTCCGAAAAAACAAGAGGCGAGCCGGCCATGTGGATGGCATTCTTTGGCCATGTGGATTCCTTTTTTTGCTTTTCTTCTTCTTTTGTTTTTCTTCTTTTCTTTTTCTTTTTGACTGATAGAACCCAAAAGCCCAGCGGCTCAAAAGGAACAAAGCCACGGGCAAGGCACACGGATTGCGACTGCGCGCTTCAGGCCCGAGCTCCTGAGCTTCCTCCGGGCCTTGCAACTGGAGGAGGGGAGTCAGAGTGAAGCGAAGGTGAGCCTCTGCTTGTTGGATTCCCACAGCGTGTCATTCCACTTTTCGCGCCGGACGAGGCTGTAACATCTTGAGGTCAGCTAGACAGCGCTGCGAAATGCTCGCTGTCCATCGCTTCAACCAAATGAGCGTCCTTAGTTGGAGGGTGAACCTAGCAAGTAGCAAGACAGCCATAGGATCAAACCCCGACTCGGGACAGTCAAGCATGCCCTTTGCTTTTTCTTTACATAGGTTGTCGTGTTCAATTGGTTAGTTCTGAGTGGGATGTTCGAGTAATTAATGTTAACCCCGGATTAAGCAGCACCCCTGGTTGGTTTTGATCCGGGGGGTGTCCAATTCCTTTTAGTGGTTGGATTCAGACCACTTTTGGAGGGAAGCATCCCCGAGTAGTGGGACGGGTTTATTAATCCTGGGTCAACATTAGTGGGTACTTGGAATCGGTGCAGAGGGATCTCAAACCAGCGGACCGAACTGGGTGTGGGTAAAAGAAGGCACCAGGAGATGGAGAAAAGCAACCCCCCAAAATTGGGGCTCCCTGATCTTGGACAACCACCATGCTGGGTTTTGACAACCACCATTTTGGAGGTTGCCTTATTTTGACACTCACGATTGTGGGTTGACCTTGTTTTGGACAACCACCGTGCTGGGGTTACCTTGTTTTTGACAGCTCAGCAAGTGAGATTCATGCTGCTCCTGTCTTTTTCGGATGCGCCTCCTTTTTTTTGCCATCCATGCAGGTTCGGGAGACGAGTGGGCGGCTCCATGCCGGGAGCCCTCATCAACAGATCGGCGACGCATCAACGCACTTTTGCGCTTGGCCGTGGCGTGTTTTTGGGGGGGAACCACCTCAAAAGCGGCTGCTGGACATGAATTCGCACCTAAAGGATGTTCACCAAAGGCTCCCTAATTGAAATCCATGCCCAGATTCGGACAACAGGGAGGGGGGAGTTGCAATTCATGGCTCATTTCGCAGCTAGATTTCGATGCAAAGACCAGACTCGTGGGCACGCTTTATGCCAGTCCTTTCGCCGCTGCGAGTCCTTTGAGCGCTGCGTGTGCAACACGCCGTGCGGGAGACAAACAACATGTGCGAGCCAGGGTTCTTGCCACGTGGATCCATGGCACCGAGGTGAATGGCCGGCAGTTGCAGCAGTGGGCAAACGCATGCGCCCAAAAGGATAGGCCGAGCGAAGGGATCTGGTGCTTTATCTGCGTTTCCACTGCCACTCGTGGCTAGATGGACGGATAGTTGGGTGGTTGGATGGCTGGAGGGATGGATGATTGCATGTTTGCGTGGTTGGATGGTTGGGTGGTTAGATGCCTGGTCGGTTGAATGGTTGGCTGGCTGGCTGGCTGTGGGTCGGTCGGTCGGTCGGTTGTTTTTGGTTGGTTGGCTGGGAGTCCGAATTGTGACAAGCCATTCGATGGCTGAGGCTTGGGAGGTTAAGAGTGTGCCTGCTGTATTTGCTGTTGCTCCAGCACATGATCCAATTTGAACATGAGCGAAGGACAACCCAGGGCATTGTGAGTACTCAAGATCTTATTCTGCTTTGGATGGGCTTCAGGCGTCGATTGCTCCTGGACGCGTTTTGCCAAGCGCAAGACAGACACCGCAGACTTGCGATATCGGGACACGGTCTCCAAGGTGTACTTGAGAAATTTCTGGACGCATGTGAACGAGCTCATCGTGAGGCCCTTCGAAAGGGGATTGAGAGTCATGTGCGAGAGACCCCAAAACCGCGTGGGTTTCGTTCTCTGGCTCAAAAGGCGCCTGAGCCGCGAAGCACCAGGATTCGCAGATTTGACGGTTTGACCGGGGAAGTCTTCCATTGCACCTGGAGCTCCAGTCACAATGGACGGTGACTTCTGGTGCCATGGGAGGGAGCTTGTTCGCGCAAGCTTTTTCTTTCAGCCCACGCCACTAGACTCAAAAGTTGTGACGAACAGAAGCTCTCAAACCAAGGAAGCACAATTTTCACTCTAAGAAACGGCACTCACTCCACTCCCCACCTGACAAAACGTTGCAAGGTTGGGCAACAAATGTGTTAAAACAGCCAGACAGACTCTGGTGCTGCTGCTGTTTTAGTCAATAGTGGTCCAAGCATCGTGAAAGATTTGGTCCATTTGGTTTTGGTAGTCTGCCAATTCAAGACTTGGCGGACCCGTTTGGGTATGGGTCAAGAAAGCAGCCACCAGGATATGGACAAAAACATGTTAGTAGTCCTTTCCATTTTCCGATCCGGCAACTCAAGAATTGGGGTTTACCAGATTTTTGACCACTACCATTTTGGGTTTACTTGATTTTTGACAGCCACCATTTTGGGTTTTTGAACACCATTTCGGGTTTACCATATTATTTTGACGATCACCCCCCCGCACCGCTTTCCATGTAATCCACCCCCTGAGATATGTTTTTCTTCCGGGACTCGCGTCGAGCCGAGCGATCGATCGATGCGGCGGCTGCGCGCTCTGGGCCTCGGCCTCGCGCTGTGGCTGGGCCTCACGGGCCTCAGCGACCCCGCGGCGGTGGCCACGGCGGCGGCGGCGGGGGGGGGCGGGGGCCGAGGGTCGGTGGGTTGGGTTCCGCTTTGAAGACGCAAAGCGCGATGGGGGGGGGGGGTTGTTCTGCTTTGGGGGGGAAGTCAAGAACACCCCTTCAACGGGGCAAAACACATGAGACAACTGCAGGTTCCCACAGTCGGTCAGTTTGCCGGGGTGAAATGAAACTGCTTTTGGAACTCCGAAGGCAATGGCAATGGACCCTATTCGATGGAGGCTTTGACTTGGCTCCCTCCACTTGCAAGGCGAATCAGCCGCTTCAGCCGGTGATTCGCCAGGGCGACGAGTTGTTGATCTACGGCGCCGGCTACTTGGGCCGGCGCGTGGCAAAGCTTTGGCAGCAGCAGCGGCCCGGCGCGAAGGCGCCAGAAAGGTTGCTTTTGGGTGCGACGGCATGGGAATCTTACGCAAAGCACAACAAGCATCAGCCGCAAGTCCTGGCACGTGGTTTGTTTTTGCCTCAACTTGGGTGGTCATACGGTTGACGGACGAAATCCTGCACCACCTCTCCCAACTCCATACCACAACTAAACAAACCTCACACCCCGCTCCCCCTTTTCAATGTTGTTGGCACTCACACAAGGTGGTGCAGGATTTCGGCCATTCCAACATGTTTGTAACCGAGGGCCCAAAAACTACAATGTTAAATCGGGAGCACGAGGGACTTTGCAAACTATGGTGAAAGCGGTGCAGGATTTCGTCCGTCAACAGTAGGGATTTGACACGCGAGCTTTGGCAGCAGACGTTTTGAGCGTTGGTTTATGAATGTTTGGCAGCTATGTACCACCCGATAACTTTAATTCATTGGCATGCGTTCAAACCTCGTGACGGGCAAAGCAAGACGGACGCTCGGAGATGTGCTGCTTGTGCCCGCGCAGGGCAGGGAAAGGCTGCGTGAAGTTGTAGATGCGCAGGCGGCGGAGAAGCATGGTGTGCTCGGAAGGCTTGCCCTGCATGAGAGCAAGCTGGGCCTGGTCGATGATGGGGCCCAAGTCTTTCTCCTTGCAAGTGACAAAGATGGGGGCGGTCCCGGAGTGAGCGGAAAAGGCTTGCCCTCGTGCCACAACAGTTGGGTTGGGAGAGAAAGCGCCCTGTTGTCAAAACACCAGTCGTCCATCAGAACCACTTTCTTCTTCTCCAGACCCAGCAGCGGAAAGGAGCCTCGCTGGGGAGTAGCCTGCACGTGCTCGAACATGGACCGCAAATGTGACAAGAGGAATGACTTGCCCTCGCCGCCAAATCGTCCCATGAGCACCATCACGGGGACGTCTTCGCGCCGGCCATCACGAAGAAGACGAAGGACGTCGAAGAAGAAAGTCTGCAGGGCAACCCCGTTGCGCTGCAAAGCCTGTTCGGCCTGCGCACGCCATGCCCCCGTTGCAGCTGCAAGCCTCTCCTGCAGCAGAGCGAAGGCGCTGAAAGCGCGTCTGCCCGTGGACAGCCAAGTAGTCGTCCACCTCCTCCCAAGCCCAAACATCATCTATTAGGCTGGCAAGCTTTCCGCTTGTGTTCTTGAAGCCATTCATCACAATGATGGGGTACCGGGTACAAGTCCATCTCCGTTGGACGTAGACAAGGAGATACAAAAAAGCAATAGAGTCGGTTGACGGACGAAATCCTGCACCACCTCTCCCAACTCCATACCACAACTAAACAAACCTCACACCCCGCTCCCCCTTTTCAATGTTGTTGGCACTCACAAAAGGTGGTGCAGGATTTCGGCCATTCCAACATGTTTGGAACCGAGGGCCCAAAAACTTCCAATGTTAAATCGGGAGCACGAGGGACTTTGCAAACCATGGCGAAAGCGGCAGGATTTCGTCCGTCAACAGTAGGATATTCAATTCAGCTTCCCTCTAATTGGTGGTTTGGATTGGTGGTTGCGTTGCTCAGGGTGGTTTCCCATCTACCCTCTAAAGCCAGGGACGCGTTCAAACCCAACTCGAATCCACCGATCCAAAGCCACCAACGACTGGCAAGCTGATCAATGGTGACAGTCCGGAAGTTTCTGCACGCGAGCTGAGCTCTTCAAATGGGGGTTGTTGGTGGGCGAAAATCCGGCCGCGCCTGAAGTCGGCCTTTGAGTTCCCCAGGCTTCGGTGGATTCAAAGCCCTGGGATTTGTCAAGATGGGCCCCCCCCAAAAAACGTCCACGCCGCCAATTCAAATCACCAAATCAGAGGGGGGCTGGTTTTCCACCACTTCACCGCCCCACGACTCGTTTCGGTTTTCGAGCTCCGACCCCTGCGCCCAGCGGGTCGCCGCTCCGACGCCTTCGCGCGCGAGGTCACCTGCGCCACGCGGACGGCGGCGTCGCATCCGCAGCTCGCCGCTGAGGGCTGGGAGGCGCTGACCACGGATGAGCTGAGCGGCGGAACCCGCCGCTTCGCCCAGGCGGAGCTTGGGCGCAGCTTGGGGCCGTGCCCTGGGGTCAAGTGGCCAAACCCGGTTCCTGGGCTTTTGGTTGTTGTTTTTTAGTTAGTTTTCGTTGTTTGTAGTTGGTTGTTAGTTCTTTTTGGTTGGTTGAGCGGTTGAGTTTCCGAATTTACCCCACGAAGGGTTATTCACCTTTAGCAGGGGATCTGAGGACGGCCCAGCCCTCTGCAGGGACGGACTGGAGACGTCTGAATGGGACATGACTCCAGTCTTGCCAGAAGGATGTCGCTCTGAAGTCGAGGTTCAGCCTGTCATTATTTTCTTTTTCTTTTTTCCGGCGGGGTTGGCCCTCGGCCCGTTGGTTGAAAAAGGCACCTGGCAGGTTTGCTAGTGCCATGGTCGAAACACTTGCGCGGGGTAGCTGGAGCTGGTCAAGGTCGGTTCTGCAAACCACTATGAGCCATATGGGTGTGGGTCAAGATTCGGGCAACCCCAAAACGGAGCCCTGGTAAATGGAAGCAAGGAGTGCACGTTACATGTGTGGCGCGAGTGCACAGGTGGCAATTGCGAAGTGGTCGATTTCGGGTTGATGACGCGCCAGGTGGTGTTTTGTGCTCCTCCCAGCAGGCTCGGCAGAACCGCGCTTTGTGCCTCCTTATGCCATGCAGTGGCGTGGTCATTGCCCTTTCTCTCATGTGAAAGCGTGGCCTCTTTTCGGCCAGGTCAGACGATTATGGCGCGGCTGTGAGAGCTGCAATGGGACTTTTGGAAGAGCATGGCGCTGCAGTCTTCACTTCCTCTGCTGGTGTATTTGCAGAGGAGTCATGTGGATGCGGGGACGACAGGTCTGCGGAATCCCAGAGTAACGTGTAACACATTCCGAATTCAGGAGGCTGACGCGAGACGAATCTCTCTTGGCCGGGATTTGTGGGACATTTTTCCAGGTTTTTGTCAGCTTCCTGACGGCGTTCGGCTGGCAAGGACTCGGGCGGCACAGTGGATGAGTCCGGCGCGGTGGGCGACAGCCCGGCCAACCAGCGGATGCTTTCCGCGGAGAAGGCGGCGGAGGGCGCGGCGGTGCTCAGGCGCGGCCAAGAGCTTGGCGGTTTGACTTGTGTTTCGTTGGCGAGTGGGGGTCCAGGATTTTGTGAAGACAGCAGTGGCTCAGCCTCTTTTCCCCCTTTCTGGGGTTACCCTCTGAAGCCCGAGTTGGGGTTTTAAATAGCCATGAAGGGGTCGGCTTTTGGATTTTGGGCAACTGGGTAGATCAAGGGAACAAAGAGACAGCCATCGGCAGGATTTCGTCCAACCGAGAGCCAGGGCTTGATGCGTGCCATCTCGGATCGCCCGATCCGCGTGACTTACCCAGGCCCTAAATTGTGGCAAGGGGAAACCTCCCATGGATTTCGGCCTTCCTTTGCACTTTTCAAGGGTCGGTCGTGTGCCAAGAAATCCCCAAATGAGTCGGAAAAAAAAAAACCGTTGTATGTGTCAATGTAAGGCATGATCCCAGGTCTTTTGGACCTATCAAATTAGCTGCACCGCCGCTTGTAATTTGAATGGCAGGAGTGTGTTGCAGGAGCGGCCGCGCAAGTCAAACATGGGGCCGCGCAAGTAAAGCGCAAGTGAAGCGCAAGTGACGCAGTGATGCATCATCATCATCATCATCATCATCATCATCATCATCATCATCATCATCATCATCATCATCATCATCATCATCATCATCATCATCATCATCATCATCATCATCATCATCATCATCATCATCATCATCATCATCATCATCATCATCCGCATGGTCGAAAGAATCCGGAAGATTGCTAAATTTTCGCGCAAGTCGCGCGCAAGTCGCGCGCAAGTCGCGCGCAAGTCGAGAGGAGTGAGTGGCCCATTTCTGTAGTTTGCATTTTCTTTGTTTCTGCAGATCCCAGCAATGAGTTGCAGCAGCCAGCAGCAGCAGCAGCAGCCAGCAGCAGCAGCCGCAGCAGCAGCAGCCAGCAGCAGCCCCAGCAGCCAGCAGCAGCAGCAGCAGCAGCCAGCAGCAGCCAGCAGCCAGCAGCAGCAGCAGCAGCCAGCAGCAGCAGCAGCAGCAGCAGCAGCCAGCAGCAGCAGCAGCCGCAGCAGCAGCCAGCAGCAGCAGCAGCAGCCAGCAGCAGCCAGCAGCAGCCAGCAGCAGCAGCAGCCAGCAGCCAGCAGCAGCAGCAGCAGCAGCAGCAGCCAGCAGCAGCAGCAGCAGCAGCCAGCAGCAGCAGCCGCAGCAGCAGCAGCCGCAGCAGCAGCCAGCAGCAGCCAGCAGCAGCAGCCAGCAACAATTTGCAGCGGTGTACGCACCTGAGACCTCATACGCTTAAGGGGCATGTTTTTGGGGGACCTCACTCTTATGAAGACCGCCGCTTGGATTTGCAATGAAAACATCCTGGGATAAGAGTTTTAATACGTTTTTTTTTTTCCAGCTCAAATAGGAATTCGATGTTGATTTCGCCAGGGCAAAAGGGTGGAGCCTCCAAGATGTAGAGATGGAGGAGCCTCGCCGTGACCGGCCAGGCTGGCAGGGCTCTACGACCTGGATCGGGGGCCTCATGCGTACTGGCTCAAAACGGGCGTGGTGACGCTTGGCGAGCTGAGCACGGCTTTTGGGTCAAAGGGGCTGGGGTGCTTACTTCGCCCCGGAAAATGCTGGGAATCCAATCCAACTTTTGCCTGAAACACTGGGGAATTTGAGCAGATGCTCAAAAGAACCAACCAGATTCTGCTCGGTATCCTTGGTGCACGTACCTCAACTATTTGCCAAGCAAGCTTTGGCTGACGCTCAGGACGGGCCAGCCAGACGGTCTGATCAACTTGGTGCACTATGCCCGGCGCTGAGCATTACAGCAGATATGGCTGTGGTTGTCAAAACCAATGGGATCCCATTTTGGGGTAGGTGCACAACCCATTTTAGAACCTATTTTAGTGGGGATTGGGGCCATATTTCTCCAGTTGTTGAGCACAAGTTCAACATTTCGGCTACTCGGAGCCGTTTGTTGCCTGAGACATGTGAAGGTTTCTCAAAATAGAGCAAGGCCGAAAAATGGCAACTGTTTCCTTACGGTTTCTGGGGAAAAATGCCAACCAAGGGGGGGCACTTAGGGTCTATTTTGCAACCTCCTCCTTTTAGGGTATTGGTTTTTTAGGGCTCGTGGTTGCAACATAGACCTAAAGGTATCCATGATTCTTAAACTAGAACACACCTGCCGAGGCGTTCTGTTTCCTTTTGGTTCGGGGAAAAAATGCCAAACACCCAACCAGGGGGGGGGGGGGGCTGATTTCCATTCCGAGCAGCACGGGTCGCCAAAAAATGGGGGGCTGATTATTCGAGGACGACGCCGCCTCCGCGGTGGTGCAGGCGCTGCAGGCCAAGAGCCGCGAGGCTCGCGGGGACTGGCCGAGCCATGGCCATGTCCCGACGTGAGCCTTGCTCCAAACCGAATTCGGATTGATGGTTCGGTTAGTAAAGCAGGCCCAGCCGGGAAAAAACAAGTTGCGGATATATTTCGGCGAATCTGAATTCTTGAAGCGTGGTTCTGGGTTCACCGAATTTTGTAATCGGTTTTGAGCAAGTGACTCATGTCAATCTGAGGACTTGGAAAGATCTGAGTCATAGAAACCTTCCACTCGCTTCGGCCCCAGAAATTGGATCGAGTCCTTGCCAGGGATGCTGGCGGTTTTCCAAATGAAGGAGGAGGAATGGTAGAAAAAAGGAGAAGCGGCTTTCCTTTTGCTTCTCGCTTGTGGTTCCGCTTCGGCCCGAGAGAGGAATGCCCAGGGCATTTTTGCGCACCCTGTTTTGAGAGACCCAAGTGGGCGTGTCCACCCATTTTTGGGCGGGTTTTCCTTATGGGTTTGATTTCAATGCGCAAAGACGAGGGGGTGTACCAATTCCAAAAATCAGAAAGACGGGCCCAAATGGCTGTGACTCGAAAATTGCGCCCTTTTGTGGCACCTCGTTGTATGAAACCCAAGTATCCCAAGTGAGCAAAAGTCAAAACCCAGGTGGATGAAGGATAGTAAGGGACAATCCCAGCCATGCCTTTGTAATTTTGTACTACATAGTCTTTTTTGATGATGACCCTCAGGTCTTCATATCAGGTTCTGACTCAAGTGGATGACTAAAGTGGCTGTGGGTCAAAACCAATGGTACCGTTTGGGGTTTTCGGTGCACCACCCATTTTAGGCTTCCTATTTCAGTGGTTGGATTGAATCGGATGTTCACTGGGGTACGATTTGGGTTTTGAAAAGCCCATGGCCACATTCCTCAAGATGCTGGGCGCCTCGTAAAGAGCTGTATCTCAGGTCGAGATTTAATGGTACCGAGAGATGCTGTTTTTTTTGCCGCTCCAAGCTGGAGCCGGGTTTCCTTGGGGAAACTAACACTAAAATGGGGGGGTTTTGATGGGGGTTTTGAAACAAACGCTAAAAGGGGGGGGGGGGGGGTTTGATGACCCGAGACCCTGAAGAGGTCTTCGTGGTGGCGGATGGGGTGCCGCTGAGCCGGCGCGGCATCTGCGAGGCGGCGGCCAAGGCGAAGCACTTCGGGGCGGCGATGCCGAGCTTCAAGGCCGAGGGGATCTGTGGGGGCGGAGGGGCTTCGGTTTGGTTGGGTTTGTGGGGCTTCGGTTGGGTTTGGGGGGCTTCGGTTGGGGGGGTTGGAGGGGTGGTTTTGGGGGGTTTTGGGGGGTTTTGGATGGTTTTGGATGCTTTGGGTGGGTTGTGGGGTTTGGGTTTGGGTGGGTTTGGGCACGTGGCTTTGTTTGCCCTTTACACCGCCAGTTTAGCAGAATTGTTGAAGCCTCAAGTCAAAGCGAGAAGTCAAGAGCAGCATGTAATTTGGCCGACTCGCAGTTGTACGCAATGCTTTGCTGGTTCGTTCCAGTTTTCAGTCGACAAGCGGGTGTGTTGAGAGCAAGCTGTTGATTCACGGGAATTGTGAGGTTGGCAGCAGAATTGTTTTTGTCTAAACGTACCGTAATGTTCTTATTCTTGCCTGTCATGATGATGAAGTGCCTATGTGTCTACCATTCGCTGGTGGCCGATCATTTGGGGTTAGCACGTTTGCATGCGCAACGTTTTCGTTGGGTTCACATTTTGCAATGCTTTGTGCCGTGATTCTCGAAATGCTGCATACGCCGCTACCCAACACATGACGGACACACAGCCTGAGGCATGAGCATTGTTGACGCTTGTCGCTTGCGCGCCTGGTGGGTTTTCTTTTGCTTCTTGCTATGAACGCGCTTCACGGGCGCGCTGTTCGACGAACTTGGCGATGTGGCGAGGTGTAGCAGCGTAGGTTCTTCTCTACGCGCAGCGCAAAGGGCCGCAAGGCCACGCCGTCCCAACCGCGCGCGGTGAGGCCGGGGAGTGGGAGATGGGCGGCACCGGCGGCAAGCGCTTGGACGCCTCGAAGGCGCGGCGTGTCCTCGGCTCCTCGGCGGGGGAGTGGGAGCCCCATGGTTTTTGAAATGTCTTGGGGGATTTTTTGTGTTTTTTTTGTGTTTTGTGCTGTGTTCTTTTTTTTTGTTTGTTTTCTTGGGCGTTTTCGAGGCTACTCTTTTCAGGTCGGGTTGAAAGAGAGACCAACAGTTTGAAATGGAAGCTTGAAATCAGGCTATGCTGAGTCGAATGACATAACCAGCGCCCAACGGGATGAGAGACATTGAAGGAGGGGTTTTACTACGTGGTCTACGAGATTTGAGTAGGGCCAACGGAAGCTAGAACTGATTTGGCAGAACCAGGAGATGGATTTTGTTGAGCTCACGTTGATATCAAATCTTTGGCCACGTTGCCACGCTTCTCGTAGATTCGCCTTTGATTTGGGACACCGCGAAAACCGCGCAACAGAGGGTCTGGATCGGAGAAAAGGTTTTGTTACTGAGGCTGGCGACCGCAGTTTCCGTCCTTCGCAGAGTACATGGCAGCACACTGACTTCTTGCTGCGTCTTATGCAAAACAGAGCGATTGTCAAACATGCTAAGGGCGAGGAAATAATTAGTGCAACGTGTCTTAGTGGAAACATTCGTTTCACATCGCTGCATTTTTTTCGGGTTCACTGGTCAAATCACAGGCCAAGCTTCTCCGAGAGGTGTCCGTTTGGCCCCCTTCATGGATTAAGCTGATGCGCTTGAGGACGGTTTCCTGGCATTGGAAGGTCATGGAGTCCGCTTTCACTTTGGCTCTTTTCCGCGCGGCTGGCTTTGTGCACCAGTGCCAGTTATGGGTCGAGTGTACTGGTGTCAAGCCCAAACGCATGCTCCTCAATCTAAGTGACACTTCTTCCATATGCAAGTCCATGGGTCTGCAATGTCGGAGGGGCAAACTGGTTTGAAACTCAATGATTTTGAATTGGTTGTTTTGGAAGGGTTTGGAAGGACTTATTGACCTTCCTGCTTCAGCTTTCGGACTGCTCTATTTCTGGCTCGGAGCATTTTGGCTGCAGACATCCCCGATTTTCAGCGACGGGAGGCCTAGACGTGATGGTTTGGCCACGACTGCAGAGAGAGGTTCGCATGGCATCGGTTTCGGGGGCTTCTCCATGACCCAAGCAGCTTTGCAGCTGGCGCACTGGGAGCAAAGAAGTGGACAGGGAGAATGCAGTGGTCCAACCAACTGTTAAGCAGTGACACAGACTCTACCCATGGTGCAAACCACCAACCACGAAAACCAAACCGCCAAGCCACCAAGCCACCAAGCCACCAAAGTACCAAGCCACCAAACCACCAAGCCACCAAATCACCAAAGTACCAAACCACCAAACCACCAAGCCACCAAGCCACCAAGCCACCAAACCACCAAACCACCAGTTGAGGGATAGTTGATATGATAAGGGGGGTCCCGGTCCAGCTTTTTTGGTTTGGGTTCTGAGAGACATTTTGCACTGACTGCTTGCACGTTGGGCCAAGGTCTCCTGAGCCATGGACGGAGGCACGGAGGTTTCAGGGTTGCCCCATGGACATCTTTAGGGCTCTCGATGGTTTGCCGTCTCAAAACAGGGAAACCCCCAAAAAAGGGTGGTTTTCCTCTTGCTTCCTTTCAATCCAACCCCCCAAAATGGTGGCCTCAAACAGTTCGCACGCCCCAATTGCTTTCTGTTCAACCACCCCCTCCCCCCCAAAAAAAAGGGCATTGTGTAAAAGAAGGCACCGCCCCCCACTTGTGGTGGTTGGTTTCTTTCCTTTCCTGGTTTGGTATGTCGGGCAAGCCCGGCCCTTGCCGCATCAGCTGGCCAGGCATGGCGTTTGTGCTGCCCAGCGGCCACATCCAGGCAAAGATGCGGGGACCGGTCGGTGGGTTTTCCCTTGGCTCAAACATCGCTTCGGCTCATGTTTCCAGGCTGACTTTCCTTGGCCACTTTGTTTGGTGGTTCGAAGTCACTCTGAGTTTCCCTTCGTGAGGTTCTTGAGGGAAAGTGTGGGGAACTGTGTGGCCGGTCCGGCCTTCCAGGCCAAGCCAGCCCCCGCCATCGCGGAGATCGCCGGGCCCTCCAGGCGCCGGGGACGCGCCTTCGCCGGGTGGGTTGGTCCCCTTGGCCCAGGGCAGCTGGCGGCCTGTCCCTCGCGGGCACCGCGAGCGCGGGCTGCGCCCTGGCCTTCGCCGCGCGCGCCGTGGGCCGCGGCCGCCGCGCGGTGGGCCGAAAGGCGCGGAAGGTGGCGCTGAAGGCGTCCACCGTGGACCAGCTGAAGCAGGCGGGGGCTCACTCGGCCAAAGATCCGGTAGAGTGAAGCGGCCGGCGCACGGCCCGTTTGGGTGCAAAGTATGGCTGTCCGCGTTTGCTTTGTATGACTTGACTTGCGGAGTGTGAGGTGGGTGGCAAGGAGGGCAGCATCCCGCTGGACAGGTACCGCAACATTGGTGCCTCGCTTTAGCAGGGAAACGGGAAAGGTGCGGCGTTTTGTTTGTCTTCACGCTAGGGATTGTTTTTTTTGAGCCATTGAGTGCTGCCTCATCCGGCACTTGTGATTTACAAGCAATAGTAGTTGTCAGTCGAGGAGCGATTTGCGCATTCCACATCCCTCTATCCTTTGGTCGCGCCTTGCAGGAAGACGGACCAACAAGGCAAAACCGAAACCATGTGGCAAATTCCTTTGAGCTTTGCAAGGTTTGGGGTAGGCCTCACCGTGTGAACTTCGGGGAACGTTTTCACTGATTTGAACTTGGACATTTGGGAGGCTCCCCTTTACCCGTTTTCGCGGCATGCATGTCGTGTTTCTGTGTATGACATTCGTCGATTGGCAAATCGGCAAACAAATAAAAGCTGCCGCAGAGTTCTCTCCATTCCCTTTGGAACCGCCAAAAGCGGCCAGCGATCGCTTCAATGGAAGCCACCAGTAATTTGCAACCTAAGACGCAAATCTGGAACGACTGTGACTTCTGACGCTGTTTGTAGCGATTTGGGCGGGCTTGGACGCGCCTCCCATGACCAGTAGTGCCGGATGTATTGCTACTCTGGTTTTTGATCTGCAGTGTCCTGCACCCATGGCTGCACTGACGTTCACATCACTCCTAGCCATTCTTTTCCCGGGCCGCCTCCATGGCATAGTGCATCAGGCAAGCACAGCACACACACACACACACACACATGCAGTCACTCCACTTGCATAAAGTTTTCCGCCACAGATTATCGCCTCCTGCTGTGGATGGACAAAATCCATTTCGCACTACCAAAGAAACCCTGGAATGATTCGATTCCCCTGTAAATACCAACCTTATAATTTCCCATGATTTCACAGTGGAGCAGGATTTCGTCCGTCCACAGTAGGAATCAGCTAGACCAAATCTACTGCTGGACTAGTTTGCTCCAGTTGCACTGGCTTTTGTCCTTTTCTTTGGCCGATTCCTGGATCCGATCTGGAGTCATTATGGTTGTGAAGTCTGGGAGAAGGATCGCAGGACATTGCCGGCATAGGTGTCCTTTTTTGTGGTAGAAAGTCCATCGCCCTGTCTGTTTGGTTTCGTAGTCTACCAGGCCTTGTTTTTCTCCCAAAACGGACAGCTATGATTGCAGGTTTCTAAGTTCTTACGACCTTGCTACTGGTTTGAGACGAAGTGTCCAGTTGCATTGGAGGCGGACAGCCCTTCTGAGTGAGAGAGCTTGGTGGCTCCCAGCCATCCGGTTCCTTAGCCTTTTGGCTTTTGAGTGTTTAGTGGTTGGATTTCCATTTCACCCACTATAGAGTTGGTCACTTTGAGCGGGGGATCAGACAACGGGCAGCCCAGCGAGCAGAAAAGCGCCGAGGCATCATGGCGCACATCGACGCGGGGAAGACCACCACCACCGAGCGCCACCTGGCTGAAGCGCGCCGAAGCGCGCGCGCAGTGAGGTGAATGGAGCCGGCGATTGTGTCTCATGAGGGGGTGGCAGGGTTCCGTTTTTTGACTACAGAAGTCGACTTAAACCCCGTGGTTGATTTCCCCTAAAAGGGAAAATCCTTGGTTTCAGTCTACCTTGGGGTAGTCAAGAGACGGAACGCTGGGTGGCAGGTGGATGTGGGAAAACTGTTTTGGGATCGCATTTTTGGGGTTTTCGGTGAACTCAGCACCCTTTAGAACCTATTTTAGTGGTTGGATTGGGATGTTCACTGGTATTGACCCATGGCCAGGTGGGCTTCACAATGTCAGGGCAAGGCCACGCCATCATTTACAACCTCATGGACCAGTAGTGGACACAGATGCCTAACACTCCGGGCCGCATCTTTTTGAACCCCTCTTGAAAGACTGCGATGCTGCTGCTTCGGGAATGCACTGCCGCGTGCAATTTTGTTTCGCTGGAGAACAGCCCTGCGCTGGACTCAGGGGTGCCATGCTGTAGCTTTGCAAGTCAACCTCGTGAGCATACTGCTGACTGATCGCTTGATCTGTTTTCCCTGAGTCTTGCCTTGCTCGCATGGTCTGAACCCAGCCAGTTGCCCAGTGGTACCCTTTTGTTTTTTGTTTTTTTGCGAAGGGTTGCCCTTTAAAGTCAACAAGAAAAGGATGCCGATTCTTTTTCCCATGGAAATCCACTGAGCATTTGAGTGAACACAGATGAGCTGACCAGCGATGCACGGCTATGCGGGCAAGCGACTAAGGCATCCTGTACTACACTGGACGCGAGAAGAGGATTGGAGAGGCAGAAACCGGAGCTTTCGGCAAAAAGGTTGCTTCGAAAGCAGGGCTCCTTAAAAGATACATTTTGCCCATTTGAAACATGTTGCTTTTTCCACCCCAAAAAAGGGAAACCACAATTTACAAGGCAATGTTCAGGTGTATAATGTAAGGATCCCTGGAAAGAGTGGAGGAACACCATGTGAACTCAAGGACGTGAGCAGATGTCATGCTCTGAGGTGGTCTTGCTTCGACGGTGAAAGGCAGACAGTTCTTGAGAGTTGCAAAAGGGGAGCCATCAGGCACCCAGGCACTAAGGAAAGGCGAGGCAGGCAGGCAAGCAAGCCAATGCCTTAAAGCAAAGCCAAACATAGCCTGAACGCGATAAGCCAACCTTAGATCATTTCCCAACGCTGACCCTGAAAGAGCCCTCAGATTCCCTACCCACCCCAAACCAACCATCCCCAACCCACCCTGATCCATCATTCTACTTTACACACCTCCCCGACCTGCCCGAAAACCATAAACTATCCCGCACAAACAAGCGGAGTGTCAAGGGGAGACCGCTTTGAAAGGCTCGGCAACGCCCCAAACAGTCTGCAAGGAGAAACGAGATCGAGGTCCCGCAAAGCAAAAAGCCAGGGCAAACGCGAGTCGAGACGTGTTGGGCTCAAGGTGAAGTGATTTACCCGCCTACAGAGAGGTACTGTGGATGGTTGCGAGATCCATTTGGCACCACCAAAGAAACCCTTCAAAGGTTTCGATTCCCCAACGTAAAGACCAAAAAACGTTCTGGCGCCAACCATGATTTTTCTTGGACGGTGCGAAATGGATAGCGTGACAAGAACCAGTGCTTGTTTTGTTCATGGTGCAGCCTACCTGGAACAGGTGCACGAGGGCCAGGCCACCATGGACTGGATGGAGCAGGCGACACAGGGCGGCTTTCATCTCGAATGCAACGATCCTCACCGAACGGATAGCACGGTTTTCCCTGGCCTTCTGCTAAAAAAACAGAGAAAACCTGCTGCAACAGCCACGCGGCCCTTTGAGAAAACTTTGCTTTTCTGGTCCGGAGCTGTCAGCTGAATGCTTGGTCCGAGCGGTTCTGGTGGGCTTTTTAGCAGATGTGGTGGCTTTTTAGCACTTGAAACATGTTGCAGGACCTAAGAGTTTGACTGGGTGGAACAACCCCAGGTCTCATATGAGCAACTGACGAAGCAGCACATTCATGTTAGTTTGGGGAGGACGCGGGGGGCTCATCCAAGAAAACAACCAGTATTCTCAGTATATTGTCCGTGGTGCATGTTTCCCTTCCATGGGAAGTCATGGCTTTGCGGATGCAACATGGTTGGATGTCCATGTTGGCCTGAGCTTATGAGAGCCTTGCACTCATGGGCCGATTGCCTTGTTTCCGCAGATGGCCTTTGTATGATTGCTGCATGTTATGATTCAGCGCAGTGCGTGGTAGAGCGCAGTTTTTTGAAGGATTGTGCGTGCCAGATGGAGTGCATGCAATTGCTTGCAAACAGCCGCAGAGCATCTTGCAAGAACTGCATTCCCATAGGTGTCCTTTTTGGGCTAGTTTGGTTAAAAATAGATGGCACTGGTGTAGATAGGTTTTATTCCATTTACCAGGGCCATCCCTTTTTCCAAAAGGCCACCTATGTGCATTCCACAAAAACAAAAACACCAAAAAACAGTTTTTTGGCAGGAGCAGGAGCGTGGCATTACCATCACCAGTGCGGCCACCACGGCATTCTGGAACGATCACCGGGTCAACATCGTGGATACCCCAGGCAGGACTCGGTACGACTGAGGATAGAGGTCTCTGTGTGAAGTGACCCCATAAATGATCCAGAAGCCATCCAACTGGTGGTTTCCCTTAAGAAAAATCCCCTTCCGGTTCACTCCCAACACCCTGCCTATCGCACCAGCAAGTTGTGTGTGTGTGTGTGTGCGTGAAGAAACCTTCAGCAAGCCAGAGACCCGCGCTTCAAGATCCCTCAATGCGCACGGCTGCTGTTTGACCCAACCAGCGCAGACCCAAGAAGGCTGTGCTTCCCCGGTCATTTGTTTGGACTATCTCTCTTCAGCTCTATTTGTCAGCTTTCATGATACCAATTGGACTTGACAAGCGCAGGACTGCCGTTTTTCGGTCTAAAAGGGGCTTCGGTTGCATATGTCATGCCCCAACGGGAGGTGCCTGTCAAGACTCCTTCGGAGGTTTGCCCCAAAACGACCGCTCGGAGTGGGGTCCATGATCGATGCCGCCAGGCCATGTGGACTTCACTCTGGAGGCGGGGTTTGGCATGTGGGTCCGAGACTCCGAGAGGAACGTTGGCGGGTTCCTGCGGAGAAGTCGAGGGTCAGCGTTTGGCCATTCGCTTTTGGTGGTACCATCTTACATCTGTGCAAGGGCTGAACTCTGGTAAAGATTTAACTCGGTTGCCGCTTTGAAGGACCAGTCCACAAACTGACAGGTGGAGAAAACCCATGTACCACCTATTTTGTTGCTCACCAGGGGTTTCCTGGGTTTTGACACCCACAGTCATCTCTGATTCTGGGCTCTCTCTGGCCAAAGGTGGAGCGATCCCTGCGGGTT